TTTTTTTTTTTTTTTTTTTTTTTTTTTTTTTTTTTTTTTTTTTTTTGTTCTTTCTTTTGTTACGTTTGGGTAAGGGATCATTTTATTGGATCGAGTTGCAGGTTTTGCACTCGTCGAGGCTTACGCGAACAAGGAACAAAACCTCGCTCGGGACGAAAATCGAGAATAAAATTACAATTGAATTTTAGCGTATTTGGTAGCTGGAAGATCCAAAATAATAAACAAACCTTGGTTTTTTTTTCAAATCGCATGTTGAACAAAAATAATTTTCTTCAATAACACGTTGTAAAGGGATACTTGGGACGCTTACAAAAAAAACGTACAACTCCATTTTTATGTTTTTTTTTTTTTTTTTTTTTTCCATTCTCTTTTTATGCCTACACACCCGCGAGAATGCATGTACGCGTGTACCGATATTCGCGCCCATCCTCATCTTACCGCTATTTTTATTATTTCGTTCAGCATCACTCGTTATCGATTCGGGTCTTATTTATCTCTTATCGGGCTCGCTAAGCGTATACATATATATCTTGTTTAATCCTCATCCCCCTTTGCCCCCATCAGCGTGATGCGGCTTTGTGCTACCGATCATACCTCATCCTGTATTACTTTGTGCCACGTAATTATGACTTTTTTTTTTTTTTTTTTTTTCTTTCGTGTACGACTTATGGGGTGTCTATATTAGGTAGTGATAACAATTTTGTATCTTTAGGTGGTCCAAGTATACATTACTGATCTTATGGTGTATAATTAAAAAAAAAAAAAGAATTGGATTCAAATAACACAAGTAATTTCGTCTCGACAAATTTGCATTTTTATAATTTGGTATGCTCGATGATTGTTTGTTGAAGTGTCGAAAAATAGAAAACCAAAACTGCAATAATTTTTTTTTTTTATTTATTATTCGTTCGCATCAGCGTTAGTCGATACCTGTATAAGTATACCGTAAAGCGAAAAGTGAAGATTTTTACCACGTACACACCCTAAAATTCGATAATTGACCCGTCCCACCATCAGCCCGGCTCCTTTTGAATTTTCCATATATTTGGATAGTACAGTTTTTCCACGATTTAAAAAATACTTTGGACCAAATAGCTCCACGATATTACTGTTTATATGCCTATAGTATAGAAAAACCTAAATGTTTTTAAGTGAAAAAAAAAAATGTTGGAACTTGTTTTTTCAGCTCTAACATTTAAGGAATGATTTTCTTCTTTTTTTTTCTTCGCTGACCCTGCACAGTGAAAATTAAGGGAGATAAAGTTGTGTACGCTATTGCATGTGGCAATTCAGGAAAATAATGAGCAAACAATTTTATTATTTGTTTTTTTTTGCCAATCAAAAATTTAAGGCTATTTTAAAGCTCGTAATATACCCTAAACGAATATTTAATGGATTTCGGCACTGGTGTGCATCCTATCGAGAGCGCAGAGGTAGGAAAACGAAATATCGTTCTACTTCTCGTAAAATAAATAAATTATCGATATTTAAAGTTTATTAACAGTAAAAATATAAGTTGAAGACCCTAAAAACCCGTACAATTTTTTTTCCAACATTAAATTTTACTATTTTTCAAATGAAATTTCTTACCTGCACTCTCGAAACAATCATTTTATATGTAATTGCTTGGTAAACCATCTAGTATTTTTTTATGAGGAACGTAAAAAAATCAAGAAGCAAAAACAAACAATATACATTGATTAACGTTAATTATTTTCGAGGTGTAACTAGACACGCCTTTTATAATATACTCGTAACGAAAAAAGGATTAAACGTTACCTCGATCACATTTTCATTTCAAACATCTGCTAGCCTTGCATGAGCCGAGGCGTGAGCTTTGAAAAAGATCCTCGCAAACAGAAATTTACCAATAAACAAGTTATTATAAATGATTTACTTATTGTGATGATTTTGTCACTTTATGGCGACAAAAATTGTACTCATTGGCATGATAAACTTGATGTCAAGTAATATTACCGATTTTCGTGCACACGCACAAAAAATTGATTTCACATGATTATAATATCAATTACATACGAGTGATTTTTGTTTATGTTGTGGAGTAAATAAGAGTTTCGCCATGTCTTGCATGTTCAATGGGAAATAATACATATATTTTACATTGTAAAATAAATTTTAACGAATTTAGAGCACGTGTGTATTGAATAATAGTGCGCAGCACGAAAATTCAACGTAACAATGTGTACACATTTGTATATGAATGAAGTAAAGCCAATAATTAAAGATTGAGGCGCGGAAGTGGGTGGCGCGAGTGAAATGTTCGACAACATGAATGTGCGTCTGATTTCAAATAAAAGCGCGCGGGTGTGCGAATGAATTGTGGCGTCTGCTACGTTCCTTGTCAGCTGATTGACTGTTTTCGGAGTTTCGAAGCTTTTATACTTTGGGGTTAGGTACATATATCTCAAGTTTTTGTTGACGTGACGAAAATGTCAAAATGAAATTCTACCGTATTTTTATATATTTGTTCTCTTTTTGAGGGCATATTGAGCGCACAGTGTTGTGTTCAAGTGAGTGACTTTTGAGAATTTTTTTCTCTCCAATTTTCACATTGCAATACAGATTACAGATATTATTTATTCATCATTATTAGTTTTCAGAAGAAATACATTACTACAGTTTATTAAAACCATTGCGATTTGTTTATAAATTATCTTGGAATAAAACTAAATCGATCTCTTTACCGGCATAACTGCAGTTATTTTGTTTTGTAACCTTACAAGTTATATTTCATATGTAATTGTGAGTGACTAACGTTGATAAACAAATACGTCGTGTAGTTTTATTGTGAAAATATTTTTCTAGTATTAGAAAAATAATTTTTGTATTTTTTAACAGGTTTTTCGCACAATTAAAATACAATAACAAACCGCTATCAGAGGTAATTGTTAAAGGTATACTTTGGTTAATGAGAAGAAAATAGAGAATGGTACGTTTTCCGATTTGCAACTACAATGTTTAAATTGGAATCATACATAACTCCAGTGATTCTAAGCTACGTTGAAAAATATGTTAAAAATTTCAAACCGGAACATGCACAGGTCTGTTTATAAGGATTATTTTTTCTTTTCTCATGCATATGAAAGAATTGTATTGGTTGACAATAAAACAATGTATCTAGGTTTCGTTGTGGGGAGGAGATGCATCTTTTCAAAATCTTGATTTACGACTCGAGGTTTTGGAAGAGCAGCTTAATCTGCCGTTTACTTTTGTTAGCGGCCACATACATGAATTGCTCATTCACGTTCCATGGGTATTTATTACCTCGGAACCAATCGTCGTGACAATCAATACCATTGGTAAATATTTCAAGGTCAATTGTACTTTTTTTTCTAAAATTTTTACTAATTAGAGCCCATGTACCGTTTTTTTGAAGAATGTGTTCTCAAGTTGAAAGAAGAAAATCAGTCGGAAAATATAACAACTACAGCTCCGGCAAAACAAATAGAAATCCCACAGTAAGTTATTTTTAATTGAAACATTTTTTTTTTTTTTTTTCAATTAACTGTAAATTTTTGTTTTCCTTCGTTGCAGAGAAGAAGGCCCCCAGAGATATATCAAGAGTATTATAACAAAAGTCATAAATAACATTACGATAAATTGCAATAACTTAATATTAAAGTACGTCGAAGATGACATTGTTCTTAGTATTAACGTCAGACTCTTATCCATGAAAACTGTTAATAACAAATGGGAGCCGACGTTCATTGGTAAATAACTTGTTAATGTTCCTTCAATGATGTCTATGTGTTTTCTACTATTGCAAACTCATTTTCTGATTTGAAGATATAATCGCGTCCGAAATGAAACTCCAGAAAACTATAACGATCCAAGATCTAACGTTATGCCTCGATAAAATGGACACGTCCGGTAAAATCGAAGTTTATCAGGTACTGTACATTTTACAGACAGCATTATCACAACGTTATTTTTCTTGCCCAATAATAATAAAAATCAATGTACAACATAGGACCCTGTACTGTACCGGTGTTCCATGACGATTCGTTTGATCATGAGTTACCTCAGCAGCATGGCTAAACGAGCGTCGACGACGAGGTTCGACCTGCACTGCCAAAAAATGGAGTTCAGCGTGACAGAGCAGCAAATACCGATGATACTGCGATTGGCTTCGCTCTTCACTTTACTGCAGTCGAGACAATTTTCTAGTCCGAAGGAAAAACCCCGAGCGCCCAGCGAAGAAAACAGTTCGATATCCAGTGGTGGGTATTTTTATGCTCAATTAAAAAAAAAAAAAAAAAAAAAAAAAAGTGTCCCGAATCGGCTTAAAGCGAGCATTTGTCCTTTCAGTCGACGAGGTCGCTCAAGTGGCCAGTTCGACCGAAGACGTGGGCTGGGGCATGTGGCTCTGGGACACAGTGGCAGCGGTGCTACCCGTGGATTGGGACGGCGAGTGGTCGAACGAGCAACACCTCGCGTACTCGGGCCACGTGATGCACTTTGGCTTCAACGTTGACGACGCCACCATCACGTTCAAGACCGCCGAGAGCATAGAGGAGCAGCTTTTCTACAAATCTCGAAAAATGAAGTACAAATCGTTCCTGTCGCTACGCTTCTCCGAGGTGGTCTGCGATGCCGTTCTACAAGGTATCGAAATGACCAATTTCACCATGGGCTTTGGCAGCGTCAATCTATACCCCCGCGGTACCTGCAGTTGCGGCTACTCAGAAGTCACGGATGGAGTTCAGGTGGGATTGGCTATCCCTGTTGGAATCTAAACTATCCATTCTAGTCGTAAACTAACAAGTGGGAATTATTTCAGCCACCCTTGTACTTGGTTGCTGGCCAGAGAAAAGCGGAGTACTTGAAGGATACCCTGTTCGACAACGAAGCCATTGAGAACCAGGGGAAAAAGAGAACTTACAAGAAAGACGTCTCCTTACGACTTCTATCGGTACCTGGTACGTATTCGAGAAGTACATCCAATCGCGTGAAACGAGGGCAAAAAAAAACAAGGATTCTTTGTAGTTTCAGCGCTGCTTGAAAGGTGTCCGGCGTTTTGCATGGATTACATTCATTTCACGGCGATACCGGATGACATCACTCCCGAAGCGATAGCCGAGTTGGGTTCAAATTACGAGTACAGGTTCGTTGGGAATTAAATGATTAATAATTTACGCGTTCGACGCAAACATTCTCGAGCCATTGTTTCGATGCAGCAACTTTCCCGAAGAGAGGCACGTTAGATACAGTTTGGGCAACGTGACCCTGAGGCTGTGCTCGGGTCTGTTTCACCGCGTCGACATGATCAAGCGGGCAGCCGACAAGTACGACTACAGTCCATACGTCACGCCAAAACCAGGTAAGTACTGGAAAACATCCATTGGGTAACTTTCAAGGACATTTTTAAAAGTGACTTTCGTAGCTCCGTCGTACGACGAACTGCCGCCCGTGACGGTCGAGGAGTACGAGGCCTTGAGAGAAAACATTCCCGTGGTTCACACGAGCGTGCACGTGAAAAAAGCTGCCGTCCAACTGCAACTGGCCGATCATCGGGATCAAGCCATCAGCAGTACCTCCAGTCCTCCTAGATCGCAGAGTCACACCGATATTCTAGTGAGTATACATATGTACACAGTACCATTTTAAAATTTTTCTAATTTTTTTTATTTAACGCATGACGATTCAGTCGCCAACTGTGATGGTGCCAGCCTTGTCGGACGACCCGTACTTAAACGTCGAGTGTGACGCGGTCGTCGTAAACTGGAGGCAGCCCCTGTACCCGTTCAGACTCATAGCTTGCGCGTCGAAGCAGAGCGACATCCCACCTGAAATGCTGGACCATTGTTACCGAGACATCCAGGCTCAGGTGCGGTTCTAGGTGTGCTCAACAACTGATGTTTATTCAGCCACCTGATTTGTTTTTCGATTAATAGTTCACAGGAGTCGCCAGCCAAGTTTACTTAAAGCCTAGCTGTCACACGTCGATCATCATGCCCTGCAATGTGGAGTACAATTTACGTGTGCTGCTTTGTTCCTCGTACTGGAAAGACCCAAACATCGTGCACAACTCGCACAGTTTGAAGATGGATTCAGTGACGGTGACCGGCACCAAGAGCAGAATCCTGGTCGCTTGCTCGATCGTCAACTCGCTCATATATCCAGAGGACTCGAGTAATTTGCTACTGTGCTCGTCGCTCTACGCCGACTCGTGCGAGGAAACAAGTAAACATACTACCTACAATGTACGATGACATTTGTATTGGATGGAAAGATTTAATCAGCTATTTTGTGCACGATTATAGATCCCACTTATATCGAGCTCTGCTTGGAGAATATCGTCCACAGGTGCGAGATGACGATAGACGTCCTATCGTGCCTGACGAACCTGAGCGCGGTCAAGGTCTTTGCTCACAACGAGGACAAGCAGGCGTTTATTATGTCTGGACCGGAAGTCGAGGCGGATTCCAGCACTGCCGAGGGTCAAATGTTAGCAACCGCTTCCCTTAAATGTTCCAAAAACCCAGCGAAACAGAAGACGAGTCCAGCGATCCTATTGGTCCGCGTTTCTTCGATGAAGGGTTGCGTGGACCCGCTTTTGTTGCAGTGGCTCAACTACCACGTCACGTTTTACAAGACGAACTCGGCTCACCAGGCCAAGACGGAGGTTGCGCGAGCGGCCAGCAACCACAACGCCGAGAGCGTCGTCTCGGACACAGCTGGGAAAAAAAGGACTTTCCCGAGTTTGCACGAAAGCGTGCACAGTTCGTCAGACAAGGAGAGAAAAAAGTCGGACGCCAAGGAGAGGCTCGACAAAAAATTCCTGCACAAGGCCAACGAGCCCGATCAGATTTTGATGCTGGCTTCCAACCAGGTGGTTACTAAGTCCATAGTATGTAATTTTTTAGGATAGCCAATGACAGGAGATTTAAAAAAAACAAACATTTTCAGAAAACAAGCATATTTGATAGATTGAGCGAGTTGTATCCTTGGTGGTCCGAATTAGTATTTAGTGGCTCCATCGATCACATAATCATTTACGTGCCAACCACAACGATAAGTTGTGTCGGGGCTGAAGGTAGAAAAATTGTGATATTTTTTTTTTTTTTTTTTTTTCAAAAAAAGTATCCCGACATTATTTTCTATTTCTACACAGGTATCGAACACGCTAAGAATCAGGCACTACAGGATGATGAGAACTTGCAAATTTTGCTCATCAAATTTCCCACTGTGAACGTACATTCCTCCAACATTCAACCCAACCACTCGCTCATCAATTTCAACGATTGGCCCGTGAAGTTACCTAATAATCTTTGGCTGAAACGTAATTATTTTACAATATCCACGTTGATTATTTTTTTAGTTCATTTTAGTAGTGAATGATTTATTATTTTTTCAGAGGCCCACGGGTTCCCTTGGAAACTTGAAATCCTGAACTTTGAATCTTACACTTTAAAAGGCGATTCCAGGCAAAATTTCGTGAAAAAAATCTGCCTGAAATCGACCCTCGATTTAACTGTCAAGCACTCGAACACCGGCTCGTTAAAAAGTAAACCCTCTGCTCTGAGCTTGTGCCTATACATCGATACGCCACCGATCGTTGTATCCGCTTCGGAGGATCAGGTACTTTTTTTTTTTTCAAAGTTTTCGTGGAAAAAAGTGGAGAATAGGAAAAGCGAGACGGATGCAGAAATCAAACGGGAAGGATTTATGTAAAAAAATTCATAAACAAAACCAATATCGGTATTTATTTCGTAAAGGTGGTATTTTTAAACAACATATTCACCAACATTGCGAGTGCAATGCGTAAAATCAGTCCCGACAAAAGTGACGAGACCAGCGTCAACTGCGCGAAAGAGGCCAAGGATGTGACGTTGGCTCTGCCAAGAAGTTCGTCGAGTCCGACGCAGTTGCTGTACCCCGAGGACGCGGCGACGGCGACGACGTCGACTCTGTCAGCCATGAAAGAGGGCACCGAAGCAGGTTGAACTCGATTGTATCTTATTTTCACGATTCATCAAGCCAATAAGGAAATTTGTCGATTTTCACCTCAGACGACAGCGGCGACGTGCACCTGACCGCGTGCATCCAGTGGACGATCACGAAAATAACCGTGAAACTTTACGTCACCGACGAGGAACACAAGTACCCCAAATTGAAACTAGTCCTCGAACTCGAGGACATCATAACGTCCGTCGACATGCAATCGGTGTACCTCAAATTAAAGCACAAGATTACGTCGGCTACGATATTTCACTACGCCAGGTGAGTGAAATCAATGTGTCGGACGAAGGTGCCATTATAGACACTGAGGGGGGTTTTTTTTTTCTTTTCCATCCACACGGCAGAGACTCGCCTACTCAACCCTGGAACTTTGGCGATTTCGTTGGACTTGTGCTCTGCGGCAGAGAGGATAATTACGAAAAGAACGAGGACTCGGGTTTTTTGAGTCTCACGCTGACGGTGGCCAAATCGGGGAACGTTCACACGCGCTGGAGCGGTGGACACAAGTCTGGCAAAACGACCAGAGTTAGTATACTTTGCATTTTCATCGACTTATTCACGCGTATGTGTTTTTTACCTTAATTCAAAACACCACGATTTTAACCATTGGGTAGAGAATCGATGCGAGGGCCGAATCATCGCTGCAGCCGATAAATCGGTACATCGTCGAAGCTCTCGTGAAAATGCAGATGCTCGACATTATCGTTCCTCCCAGCGTTTTCGTCAAGTACGTACGACTGATAGAGCCTTTTTTGAGCCAAAAATCTCCCAAGCCCGACAACTCGACGACCTCCTCGAGAATCATTTCGCCGCCCTTCATTGGCATCGCGAACCTGAAGAACGAGGCGCTCCCGTTGATTTACTTGGAATTCAAAGGACTCCGCCTCATGATACCCGACGGAAGCGGCTCGGAGCCAGCTCAGGACTTCCAACACGATCTACTCATGTTAAGGGTGCGTGTATTTTATTGAATAAAAAAAAAAAAATAATAAAATTTCTCTCGATATCACAGCTGGATGGGATACGCGTAAGCCCACACGCGGAAAATCCGATATGCAGGATGCCCCTTAGGCCTGACATTTATCAATTAGCTGCGCAGGCTAACATACTGAAGGTGCCCGGTTCGGCGGTCGAGGATCGCCAGTACCAGATCAACATAGACGGAATATGCGTGCACACGACCACTTGGCAAGATTATCAGCAGAGCATTGTCAAAGTAATGTGGCACCGCGTGTATTTGTTTCGTTTTTTTGCCATGAATAAGTTTGTTTAATCCGTTCAACCAATGCTTCCAGAGAATGTCTCAGTCGTACTTGTACACGATGAACGAAAATCCAGCGGTCGAGTGGAACAAACTGGGAAACGGGGGCAGCTTGGAGCCCCAGTTCTCAACCCTGCCCGTCATTTCAAGGTACGTTGGCGCAAAATTTATTAATTTCAGCTTTGAGACGCGTTACGATTTCAGGTTTGATTTCGGCTTGATCATCGCCCCGGCCATCACGTTCAAGCCGGACACTCTGGTCTGCGCAAGTGCTATGGAAATCAACTGCCTGACGGATCTAGAACTGTCGGTGAACTTTAACCAAGTCAAACTCATGACGGCACTGTGCACTCAATTCAAAAATCTGCTGCCGATTCACGAGCCTCGTGAATATGGAAATCTCGACGTGCAAAATCTACTTTCGTCAGGTGGCAACAGAAGCAATCAAGTAGCCAAACAGAGTACGGTGGACTCTGAAGCCGATTTCGCCAAAGACAGCGGGGTAGACTTTGAACTGTCGAGCATCAATTCGACGAATCCCGTGAGTATACGAGGGTTTTTCGTACGAATGAGAGTTTTATGCTTTAAATGGTTTTTTTCATAAATGCAGGAAAAGACCGTCGTTCAAGAAAAACCGGGTCACCAGCCGTTCGAGTTTCTGGTGAACTGCGGCAAAATCACGTTCACCGTCTACGAAATGAAGGACCCATTGGATTTCAAGGACGAAGAAGAAGGAGACAGCACCAGTAGTCGAAAACAGCCGCTGCTCTACGCGATGATCAACCAGCCGAACTTTTATTTTTCTCAGCAGTACTGCGACCAAAAAATACAGGTAAAGAATAAATAAGCTAAAAACTTTCACCCCGCAAGCAACTTACGGTCTCGCAAAAAACGCAAGGTGTCCTTCTTCGACCTGGCTCTGCTCTTGGGGGATGGAGCCGATGGTTGTTCAGCCTCGTTGCCGGCAGAGTCGGATTTCAAGAGCTGCCTCATCGAGACCAGAAGCGGCGAACCTCACCCAGACACGGGCATACCACCCTCCTTTCTCGTGATGAAGTGCGAGATGTTTGTCGGCAAGAACGCCCAGCTGAGCGTCAACATGGGCAGGCCGACCAAAGTGCACGTCTCGCTCTGCCGCCTCAGGTCTCTGCTCCACGTCAGGGACAAGGTAAAATTAATGAGCGAATCGATTGTTGAATACACCACCAACAAGTAATTGACGAGCTGTGTCAACTCTACAGCTGATGGAGAGTCTTCGGAGCGCGGACGTCACCACGAGGAGCTTGATCTCCACCAGCGCCGACGACGATGGGATTAGTAGCGTAGCCCCCTGCAGCCCCTGTCACGGCAGGTACAGCCTCCCGGCAGACGTGAGCTTAACCACCCGGCAGCTCGTTTTGTCGCTCGAGTGTGAGCCGGCGGGTTGCCTGATGAGCGTGGCCTCGGTCTCGGGTGGCCTGAGCAGCGGAGCGCGCCCCGAGCGCGTCCACGGCCAACTGAGCTGGACGTCGCTCCTCGTGTCGAATAGACTGGGCCAACGGAGGATGCTACTGCTGAGCCCGTGTTGCGGCAGCTTAGGACTCGGGCTCGCCTGGGAGAGCTGGTGGCAGCAGGTAGGCGAGCGAGGTCCACGGGTCCAGCTCCAGCTCGAATTGGACTGCCTGTACGTGGATGTGGGACCTAGGCACGTTCTCGCGCTCACCCGCGTCCACGAGGAGTTGCGGCTGTTGGCCGATGTGCTGATGCCAGCAAAGGCAGCCACTACCTCGTCTCCGTCGAGCCCTGCGTCGGCTCCGTCTTCCATCCCCACGGGCACGACCAGCGCCACCGCTAGCGAGTACGCCGCCTCGCACGAGCAACACTACAAGGACGACCTCAAGTCCGGGGCCTTCCAGTTCGTCGACGGCAGTAGCGCCGAGGAGCTGCCCTTTCCCTACCAGGTGGTCTTCTTCTCGTCACCGGCGGCCATGGCCTGGCGGTACCCTCATCCACGAGCGCTCACCAAGATCCACGTAACCCCGGTGCCGTTCGAGGTACATCACCATATAATAGTTTTTGGTAGAAAAATAAAAATAAGGTAAATCACCTGAAAAAAATGTACCAATATTTTTTGACAATTTTTTTTTTTTTTTCAGATGTTCGAAACGGACGGGACGAGGGAGGCCACCGCGTTTTTGGACCCGACCTCGACGGCATCGGCAACAGCGTCGGCACCATCAGCAGCCGCAACGGCAGCTGGAGCGGACGATGCGCGGGACGAGAGGATGGGTTGCGCCATCGAGTATTGGAGCGAGAGCCAACTGGCGTACCAGAGCTACGTCGAGTTCTACCTCTCGGAGACGGAGAGCTACCAGCTGGACCTCCCGGAGCGACCGCCCCTACAATCGGCGGCGTGCGTCTGGCGAGCGAGGCTCCAGCAATCCCAGTACCCCAGCCGGCTCTCGAGCAAGGCGCTGCTCGCCTGCCTGCGCGTCGACTCGTACTTCAGTCCCAGCGCCGTGCCCGAGCTCCAGGCCAGTCTCGGCATCCGCGCGGCCCAGCTGAGACTGCACAACCAGCCGGAACTACCCAAAGAGCTGCCCCAGGGAAGCCCGCTCGAGGGTTACCAGCTTGGTGGGCTCCTCCCCGACAGCCAGTGCTTTGCCCTGCTCGAGCTACGGGCCGGCAGCCTCCTGCTCAGCCGCTGGTCCGGTGGTTGTTGTCTGGCACGCGCCTCCGGCAGCCTGGCGCTTCATCTCCTCGACTACAGCTTCCTCGTGCTCCAACAACTCCTCGACGCGCTCGAGTTTAGGCTCCAGCTGTCGATGCCCGGCCGGGAGGGCGTACCCGAGGTCTCGCTCCTGGCCTGCAGGGCCTTCTCCCTCAAGCTCAGTCCCTCGGTCTTCCACACGCTCGCGCTCTCCGCGCACCTCTGGACCGACGCGCTGTACCGTGACTCCGATGCACCGGCGCCCCTCGTCCTCACCACCCGGTACGTCGTGGCCAACGACACCAACGTGGCCGTCCGCTTCGGGCAGTGCGCCACCGACGACAGCATACTCCTCGAGAGCCGTCAGTGTTACTTTTACTCGTGGAGGCACGCCGGCGGCCAACTCCTGAGGGTGGCCGTCGAGGAGAACGGCTGGGTCTGGAGCCGGGGGTTCCCCGTGGCCGCGAACGGCACCTACGAGGCGGACTTTGCCTGCACCACCACCACCACCGGTAGCGCAGCTGTGGTCGTCCTCTCGGTACACGTGAGCTCGCTCTCGGCTTCGCAGAAGCTCGTGAGGTTCACGGGCCAGTTGATGGTCGCCAATCATTTGGCCGACGGCCTCGAGATGCGCCTGGTCAAGTACGACGCGGCGAGCAACAGCAGGTCGGCGGTGTCGCGCGACGTCGTCCACGTGCCGCCCAACGGCCGGCCGCCCTCCATCGTCTACGCGGACAGCGCGAGCATGGCCATGCGCCTACGCTACTCCGGCATGCCGAACCTGCCCTGGACGGGCGACGTGCCCCTGCAGCCCAACGTACGCTGGGGCCAGCCCTGGCTCGTCAAAGGTACCCACCTTGGTTCATTGTAATTCTTTGAAACACCTTTTTTGCTTGTTTCGTCCCTTTTCAGTGCCTCTGCAGGAGAAGGGACAGTTTGTCAGCGTGTGGGTGAGGATCGTCATGGAGCAGGTCAACGGGAGAAACAAAATCTTGGTAACTCGCGCGCATTTTTGACAGGCGATGATCACAGCCAAGTAACTGGCATCGTTGATTTCAGGCCATCATCAGTCCGCTGTACGTGATAAGATCTTACCTGCCGGTTCCGGCTAGGGTTAAAATCGAGACCCCCTCGTTGAAGGTGTCGCTGAGCACTGTCATCAACGGCCGCGGCGAGAGGCAGCAGCTCTACTGTCCAGGAACGTTCGAGCACTATCACCAGCTGACTTTTCAAATCGAGTACGGCAACCTTGATTTACATAGTTAAAAAATAATAATAATAAATAAATAAATAAAAACTATTCCGTAATTACTCGTTGGTTCGGCAGATCGGGAGTTTCCGCCTCGAATCCCTACGTGCCGTTGTCGTACAGTTCGGTGGACCAAAGAAAGTTCTTCAAGAGACCGGAGAAGGAGAGCATCCAGGCTATTCTGGCCCAGCTCGAGTTGGCAAAGGAGGAGTCAAAGTGGCCCTTCCAGAGCGACCCTCTGACCCCATGGACGGCCGCCGTCCAGCCTCAGACCCACGTTCAAGTTAATCCTAGCACTATGCTCGTTACGACGTTGGTGTTTCGTTGTTCCAAACTAATCTCAATGACATTTTTGCAGGTAAAATACGAGGATGCCGGCTTCATGTCTAGTACTCTACTACTCGAGCTGCAGCCCTGGTGTTTCATACTCAACTCCCTGGGCACATACATCACCGTTGTGGCCCAGGATACCGAGCTCTGCAGGATACCCCACTACGGTATCGTCGCGCCTCCGAAGCTAGAGGTAAATTTCATTCATCATTTTTATGAAAAATGGACAGAGCTAATCACGTGTTTCTCGTTCGTTTTTAGAGCACCTTTCACGTCGGTGTCAACATCGCCGGTTCATTTTATCTGTCTCCCGCTCTGCAGCTCGTCAAGTCAGACTGGAACCAGAGCTTTTACATGCCTCGAATAGAGGGTCTGATACCCCTGGAGGGAAACATCAAAATTCGCGTCGACTGCAGTTCGAGCGTGAGTCCACAGACCGCACTATTTTTTCTTGATTTGCGAAATTTTTCACCGCGTTGATGGTATTTACTCCTCCATTGTAGCTTTGCACAATGAACATTAGCTCTAGTGTACATAAGGATATGCGCATAGTCAAAATCAGTAGTAACCATGTCGTGGGAAACATGACGGACCACAAACTGAGCGTAGTCGCGTTAGCTGTGCCAAATTCATCGGCCAACGCTTACCTGCCCAACGACCTAGACGCACAAAGCATCGAAATTTTGCCTTCCCCCGATCAAAGGTTTGTCTCATATTTATTTATTTATTTATTTATTTTTTTTNGGAAGAAAACCGACGTTTTGCAACTTTCTCGTCAAGAGCTCATTCCTGTTACTACTTTCTAAATTAGCAACAATGAAGAAGTTAAGAGTAAATGTATCTTGTAAGAAATTTCGTCTTTTTCCCAGCTATATCTGATAGATAAGCTAAACAAGAGGCTGGGTATTCTTTTCGGAGCACTGCATATTTATTTATTTATTTATTTATTTTTTTTTTCAACAATACCATTCTCGAATCAGTAGTATACAAAAGTTGTAATCCATTCGTTTGGATGATATAGGCGCGCGACTCCGATCGTACAGTGGCACACACTATTTGAAAAGAGCAGCGACGTCTTTGTTTTGTACGTCCTCGTGCGCCTTTTCGACTCCGACTGTTGGTCGTGTCCTGTTCGCGTGGACCAGAATCCCAGCCGAAAGTGCATCGCGCTCCCGGTAAGTTGGCTCGTTACTGCAGTACCAAAGCAAAATAAACTCGGGCCATTTTTTTTTGCCAAAGGATGGCCAATCGACTGTGCCGCTCGTGGTTACGACCCAAGAAGACAAAAACACGGTGTACATAACGATTCACGCGGACAAACACCCGCAATTTTTCATTGAAAACGCGTGTTCGTTCGATGTCGTCATTGGCCAAGCAAACGAGGAGTCGGGTAATTGATTATATTTTGATCCCTACCAATAAAATTTTTAGCCATCAAATTTACGTAAAAGTGAAATTTCGCAGGTAACGCGCTTCCGGAGTCGCAACACTTTTCTTGGAATTGTCAAATCAGGAGCAGGAGCACCCATCACTACTCGATGCCCATTTTCGGGAGTCAGTTGCCGGATCTGGCCAACAAAAACAATAGCAACAGCGAATCCTTTTCCATGCTGATATCTACCCTACCCGCCAGAGAGGAGTTTGTCGATCGAGACAATTTCGGTGACTACAACGCTTGCTTTCCGTTTTGTTTGGAAAGAGGCGTTAATACTTTTTTTTTTTTTTCAGACGTCAGCTCGTTGCAATGGTCCAAGGGCATTAGTTTGACGGCATCAGCGTCGGAGCAGTTTGTCAGACTGCCCCATTACGGGGACGTGAAGCTCATCATGAAAAAGCAATGTTACACGACCCACGTGCGGCTTGCTCCGATTTCACAGGTAATAATGACACTTGAGTAAAAAGTAAGGCGCGACTTCTTCTTTTTATATCAACTCAATGCACACTTTTGATGTAGATCGAAATATCCGCTCAAGAAATCAGGAGTAAAATTCAAAGAAAGTGCATCATCGACGAGAGCAAAAACGAGTCGATAGCCGACGACACTCAGGTCTACTTGGAGGACCCGAGAGTGACGTTAAATTTGCAGGTGAGTTTGGACGGAAACATTTGATTCCAAAGTCGCATCTCTAAATTAAAACCAACGCTTTCCAGAGTGGGAGCAGTTCAACGTCAACGATGACATTTTTCTCGGCCCAGGACGAGGCTCTGGAGGGAGAAGTGCCGATTTCTCCGAGGCACCAGTCGACCGGTGCGCCACTGGCTCCGGCCAAGAAGATCGGCTCGATCGACGCGACACGAAGGAAGAAGAGGTGGAAAAACGGCTCGATCACGGTGCACGTGCTGGGCTTTTCGATAATCTTGATGAAGGACATCAATGACAACGCCCAGAGAATAGAGATCGCGAATCTGTCGGTGACAGACGCCATCTTCATGCTGGACCACCGGGAAAACCACTCGAACCTTGGCGTATACGTTGGCGACCTCCAGCTGGACAATCAAATGTTCGAGCAGGGGGGCTTCGACTTCCCGGTCGTGCTGATCGGCCAGAAGCCGTACGCGAAGCGCGACTCCGCCATCTGTTTGACCAACAACCTCAAGAGCAGCGCCAAGAGCATCGTCGAGAACTCGCTCATGGGGATCGACGTGGCGTGGGAGAACGGCCACGACGTTAGAGCGTGCAAGGTCGTCGCGGTCAAGATAGCGCCGATAAGCGCGTACGTCGAAGGAGGCTTCATTACTCTGCTCATCGATTACTCGACGATGATATTGCCGCCCTGTTTTGTACACACAGCAACGTCGAGCAATAATACGCTCGGATTGTCCATGGCGATGGAGAACTACGTGCCCATGCCCGACTGCGTGCTCTTTGACGCCAGAATACTGAGCCAGCCCTTGAGGATCGAGAGCCTCGTGATCGAGCCGCTGTCGATACTGCTGAGCGTGCACAGCACCATACACTTTTACGTGGCCTTTGACCACTCGCCTCTCTTCTTCGACGCGTTCGATCGGAAAAACCTCATAACGACGCCCTACAGACTCGGCAATGCGCTCGCCATGCATTACCTGTCTGGTGCGATTTTCGGCGTCGGTAAGCAGAAAAACAACACGCCAAATCATAACATCGGGTTCTTATGATTTCCGTTGATGCGATTTTCGTTCTTCCAGGCTGGGTCGTTGGCTCTTTGGAAATCCTGGGCTCTCCTGGAGGCCTTGCGCAGGCGTTGGGCACTGGACTCAAGGATTTTATCTCCATGCCGTTCCAAGGACTCTTGCAGGGACCTTGGGGCTTTATCGTGGGTATAACGCATGGCTCAGCGAGCCTCGTCAAGCACATCACAGCTGGTACGTATAAGTAATTTGAGAAGTTTAAGGAAAAGAAAAACAAAAAGCGTCGTGTTTCTAGGTACTGTGAACTCGGTGACGAGGCTTGCGTCGAGCGTGGCCCGAAATTTAGACCGATTGACTCTGGACGACGAGCACTTGCAGCGCCAGGAGGAGTTCAGAAGGATGCGCCCTCAAGGCGTGGCACAGGGCCTCTATCACGGCCTCACCGGCTTTGGGATGAGTCTACTAGGTCAGAGTTAATTTCATTTCATGTCTTTTGTATTGAAACATCCGCAGCTCCGATGGTCAATATGTTGCTCTTTTCGCAGCTGCGGTGGCCGGGCTCGCGCACCATCCCCTGCAACAAGTTTGGTCGGGTGAAGCTTCGACGAGGGGGCTCGTCACCGGAGTTGGACGTGGATTGGTCGGCGTCGTCACAAAGCCCCTCAGTGGCGCTGCCGAGCTGGTTGCTTTGACGGGCCAAGGCTTGCTTCAGGGCACCGGTTGGATATCCTTGCCTTCGGTAAGCAAGATTTCACTCGACGCACTAATATTCCAACAGTTGGAGTAATGTAATGATCCCTCGTTCAGCCCCGGCAGAGGCCAGTCGTACAGTACTCGTACGGGTTGAGCGCCACCTCCCTGAGGTACGCTTGGAGGCTGCTGCCCTTACTGGCAAAGAACGACGATGTCATCCTTCACGTTGCGAACGCGGACCAGGTCATGCTTCAGGGCAGCAACAAAGCGGTCAGTCTGGTTCTCACAAAGCAGGCGCTGTTGATAGTAAATATTGCCGAGGACAGTGTCGAGAAGATACTTCCGCTCAAGGACCTGATCGCGGTCGACAATCCGTCCGAGTCGACGGTGTTCCGATTGCACTGTTCGAGCACCTCGACCAGTCAGCAGTTGAGTAAAGCTGCTACTGACGAGCAGTTTGCGCCTCACGTGAGTAGAATTTTTTTCTCACTATCTTTCAGTAGTTGCCTTTTGTAGGCATTTTTTTTTTTTTTTGTTGATTTCAGATGGACCGAGAAATGAGGGCTAGGGTGGCTGAATTCTTGCGGACGAGTAGTACCGGCATCACCAGCGTGTCAACAAACAGCGATGCAGGATCTGAAATCGACGATCCAATTGTTGTACCCGAGACGAAAAACAACATGACCTTTTATATAAATTCGGACTCTCGTGGTTACCTCTTGTCAATTTTTAATGTGGCCAAAAGCCAAAATCAGGGCAATGGTTTTTCAGTGATATAGACGAGTTTTATAAGAAAATTCTAAAGAACTGTAATAATAAAAATTACTTTATTGTTTACTTTTNATGACAATTTGATGTTAAATGAATGTGGACACGGACCAGAGTAAATAGAAACGCTGTAGCTTTATTATATATTTACAATTTTATTCATTCCTGTGATTGGTTCAACCATTTAATAGATTTATTTTAACTCAGTGATATAGACGAGTTTTATAAGAAAATTCTAAAGAACTGTAATAATAAAAATTACTTTATTGTTTACTTTTTTTATAAATATATATATACACATATGCTATATTCAAGCGATGTTACGAATTATTCAATCATGAAGGTTTTACCGAAATCTTTAACAGTAGTGTACCATCATTCACGATCGTATTTGATTAACGTTAAATACAATACATTCATCTCAGCATTAAGTTAAAAAAAACAATGAAATGAAAATTTTATCACTCACCCAAGAAATTATTCAATTAATTTTTCTTTAATTCTTTTTTGTAATCGTACTAAAAAAAGTCTTGAGTGATGTTGCGAGTTTTTAAAATGTGTGCTTGCACAGAAATAAGTCTTGAAAAACGAGTTTCCTTCAATCTAATATTTTAACTGGAAATTACGTTACTTTGAAAAAAAAGCAACAAAAAACGTTTTTGCCAAAACTCAGTAAATTTCGATTCATTTAGATGGGTTGGAATTCATTTTCTAGCATTAACTTGAGTGGGTTGTGTTGTGCGATTTTGTACAATCCACGGGTGATTGAGTATGCCATCCAAACTTAGTCTCCGTTCAGGTTGAACAACGAGTAGCTAGGGGGAAAAAATTGATTGAAACGTTCATATCTTGTTCAAGCTGTTGATTGACAAGTAGTATTTTGTTTTTTTTTTTATTCGTAAAATGCTTACCTTAGAAATAAGATCCTTAGATCCATTACTCAGATATGCGGGGAATTTGTAATTTGCCTTCCTAATTTTATTGTAAGTTTCGTCGTACGTTTTATCCAGGAATGGTGGTTCTCCAACAAGAAACTCGTAAGTCAAAACCCCAACTCCCCACAAGTCTACAGTATGATCATGAGTACGACCATTTACCATTTCTGGTGGTAAGTAATCAAGAGTACCACACAGTGTTTCGCGACGGGATGACGGAGCGTGAACTGACCAACCAAAATCAGCCATTTTCAATTCACCGCTTACGCCAAGAAGTAAATTTTCCGGTTTAATATCTCGATGTATAACTTTTCTTGTGTGACAATATTTTAGTGCATCAGCCAACTGAGAGATGTAAGTTGCTGCTCTGTGATGATATGAAAAAATTAGTAAACAAGTGACTTTAAGTTTAAAAATAACGAATCAAAATGCTTGGCACAACAAGTTTACCTGATTTCATTGAAACGCTTGTTTGGTTGAGCATTTAGTTCCTTGAACAATTCTCCGTTTGGAGCGTATTCTAAAATTAAGTACACTCTTGTTTCATCATGAAAATATCCGTACATTCTCAAAATATTCGGATGCCTGCAAATAATAAAAAAAATTAAGGAATTAAAATTAAATCAACACTCAAATATTTATCACCAGTACGAATGAAACTTGGATACCTCAAATGTGTTTGAATCTCAATTTCCCTACGAACTTGGTGCTCGATATCTGCCTTAATTATCTGATCCTTAAATAATACTTTCATTGCTACAATAAATTTCGAAGTTTTTTCTCTCGCCAAGTACACATTGCCGAATTTTCCTTTGCCCAGAGGCCTGCCAATATCGAAATCCGTAATGGACCACTGTTTCTTTGAACTGCTTTTCTCTTGTTTTTTTTCTTTATTACTAGTTGTCTCGCTGCCAGCAACTTTCTCCTTGTTATTCTCTGACTTTTGTGAACCAGAATTTTCAACTGGCTTCGACGATCCCGGCATTTTTGGAGGAGGCATGAGTTCATTGGACTTTTTGGCAAAGTTGGAGTCATCTTCCGTTTTCGAACTTTGAAATGTCTTTTTGGCCACTTCTGGGGCATCATTTACAACTGCTTTCGTTTGTTCATTTCCTTGTGCTGCTTGAACTTGCGACAGGATAGCCCTGGCAACTCTAGGCTGATTATAATTATGCTGTGAACCGTTTTCCTTGCCTTTGATCATTGCACGAAACTGTAATAGTTATCAATGTATCGTTTGCATTGAAAGAAAACACAAGAAAGAGATAGTCGCGATTGTTGTTGATCAGGTACAACAAACATACTTACATCAGATAAACACCAATAAGGCAAAAGAAGAAGAAGTTTGGTTTGTAGTGTACAAAGGGCAGCTGATCGAGTCGAAAAGATCCGAGCTGATGCTCTCAAACGCTGGACACGTGTGGCATCACAAATTTCCAGTGTTGCGGTTATTACTTTTGTTATAACTTGCGAGGCTTTTTCATTCAACCGGCTTTAAAAAGGATACACCTGTTCACAAAGGAGTTATGTTGATACGGTGCCCAACTAGACTTTAAATTCGAATTTGCTCAATAACGAACATCTCGAGAGATTCTCGAGAGAGGGAGAGAGAGGTGTGGTTGGTTCTCCAACTCCTGGATGCAAAAGTCGACGACGAGGTTCACCGCCAATCACGCGCTCATAAAGTGTATGCATGAGTTTCATAACCCACGCATTTAAAAAGCGTCTCCTCTCACCGGGTAATTCTACCAGGCGACGTCTCCCATTGGCGGATTTCAAATGACGCGGTTCGCCCACAAAAGTCGTTTCTTTTTTTCCAATGGAATTCGCATGCGTGCGCGCGTGTGCGTGTGCACATGTGTGTATAGCAGACGAAATTACGACAGTCGCATGCTCCGCTCGCTCCAAATTAGGTGTTGTGATAATGCAACTTTATATTTTTTTTACGTGTTTTTGCCTCATTATCTGATTCTCGCAATACAAAATTAAACGTGTGTAAAGTCGCGATCGCGACAACGCTTAGGTAGTACAGGTATACTTTCCTATATTGCCATCCGCGATTCGATTTGACGTTTAACCTCCGTTTGTTTTGTTTACGAACTTTCTCTATAATACACCTGTTTACATAGTTATCTACAGTACTTACATGGTAAGTAATGATAAACTGTTTATCTTTCCTACCTATAAATCTGGTAAATATTTGATTTTGTACTTTGTTTGTTTCTGGTTTTTTTTAAATGACAATTTGATGTTAAATGAATGTGGACACGGACCAGAGTAAATAGAAACGCTGTAGCTTTATTATATATTTACAATTTTATTCATTCCTGTGATTGGTTCAACCATTTAATAGATTTATTTTAACTAGTTGTACGACACTGATAAAAATATTTAAATTAATTTATTCAATAAAAACAATCTATGCCTCACATTTTGAGTTAAAATTTTTTATCATCAACATTACTTATTTCATTCATTGTCAACATGAACGTTGTCTTTTTCAAATTCTTTTTGTATAGATAGTGTATTTCAAAATTTCAAATTAGGTAATAAGTAACACATACACACGTCTATGCATATTAACATTAACATAGTAGGTGCGTCTAACTTGCCTCGTATCTAAATATGGTTATGCGTGAGAAATTCATTCATTCACTGTAACAGTTACTAACACCCACGATTTTTTAATTCTCTCCACTGCCATTTCAATCATTTCTTCTAATTCATCATCCATATTTTTTAAACTTCTTTTCTTAATTATCATCTTTAGTTGAACTCTAATATCATTTTTTTTTGTTTATTAAAAAGTTATTTGATTAATTTTTTCATACGTTATTTTATTCATCCATGTATAGCAGTTAAATAAAAAAAGTATAAGGTAATTCTGGAAATCCACAGCCGGATGGAAAAAAAAAAGCCAGACTTCTTGATACAAGAAATTAATGTTGACAAGTATGATCTTGGCGATCTATTGATTGACAATGTCGGTAAAAGGAAAAAACACAGGCAACGTTATGAACAAAAAGTCTGCAAGGATGGTTAATGTAATTGTCTTTATTTTCACTCTTTATTAAACTTATGAGATAATTTTGGAAAACTATTAGAATTACATGAGAAAGTATATACACTCGAAAAACACTCTTTTATTTTATTTTTTATTTTAATGGAAACAATATTTTCACACCTTATCTCACTTGGCTTTTATCTCTGTTGAACGCACGTAGCTTATCTCGAAAATGTTTCCCTAAATTATCCAGGCAAAGCCATCGGAAGCTCTTCTGGCTGCGAAGCGAGAGGCGCAGCATAAAAAAGCGTTGGGAAAGAGAAACAGTAACACTATAATTGTCGATATTTACCAAAAAGCTATTGATTCCAAAAAAATGGTTCGCAACGATACCGGCTTGGTGTTCGATCGTTCCATGGCCGAGCATCAATGCTTGTGGGACGACAAATATCCAGAGTGTCCGGAGAGGCTGGTCAGAGTTCTTGAGAGGTGCGAGGAGCTAAATTTGATTCAGCGGTGTAAATACATCGAGCCTCGTAATGCCGAGTACAGTGAATTGTTGCTGAAACACTCCCCGGTGCACATAGAAACGCTAAAATCTACTGATAACTGCCAAGACGTGGATAAATTGGAAAAACTTGCGTCCAAGTACGATGCCGTTTACTTTCATCCCGTAAGTTACCTCGCTTATCATTGATTTTCATGCATTGAAGTAACGTTGATTCGATGATGCTCGATCTCTCCTAGAAAACGTATCAGTTGTCTTTGCTGGCTACCGGATCGACAATCAATTTGATTGAGAACATATGTAAAGGCATAGTACAAAATGGAATGGCCATTATACGGTTCGTATGCAGATCATGAGTATATTACTCGTTCGGCCGAGTGTGATTGTGATGGGGTAATTATAATTTCAGGCCACCTGGCCACCATGCCATGAAATCGGAGTATTGTGGGTATTGTTTTTTCAACAACGTCGCCGTAGCGGCTGAAGTGGCGTTGAAAAACAATTTGGTCAAAAAAATATTGATCGTGGATTGGGACGTGCATCACGGGCAAGCCACTCAGCAAATGTTTTACAATGACGCGAGGTCAGTGAGTCAAATTTGAAGAGTAAATGTATTTTCACGAGCAGACTTGACGTTTTTATTGAATTTTTTGTCCAGAGTCGTGTATTTTTCGATACATCGCTACGAAAACGGCGAGTTTTGGCCTAACTTGAGGGAATCTGATTACCATTACGTTGGCGAAGGAGCAGGAGAAGGATACAATTTCAATGTTCCTCTGAACAAAACTGGTATGACGAACGCCGACTACTTGGCGATATTCCAACAAGTTTTGCTCCCAATGGCCTACGAAGTAAGTGGATTGGTCGTCAATACGCATTGTAATTGCGTGCAATAAAAATACGAATGCGCTTTTTTAATCAAATCTTTTTAGTTTCAACCAGATCTCATCATAGTCTCGGCTGGTTATGATGCAGCTCTCGGTTGTCCAGAGGTAATTTAAAGTATATTCTTATTGATTTACTCTGTTTATTCTTTAGTTCCGTCCCGGTCTGATACTCGTATCTGCTGGATACGACTCAGCATATGGCGATGAAAAGGTTGTCGAATTTTTTTTTTTTTTTTTAAATTTCTAACCCACTGAAATTTCTTTGAATAACATTTCCTTTCTACAAATAATTTTTAAAGAAAAATTTAAAAAATAATTAAAAGCTCCGTTGTTGGTAAAACAAATGAACAAAACGAAATATTCCAGGGATTAATGAACATTACGCCAGCCTGTTACGCTCATTTGTTATCTTCACTCATGAGCCTTGCTGGTGGAAAAGTCGCAGTGATTTTGGAGGTACAAAATTTTTTTTCATCCCAAATTCGCAATATCGTCGAGCGCGTACTCTTATATTTTATACCATTTGTACTTTCAGGGTGGCTACTGTCTTAAATCGCTCGCGGAAAGTGCTGCCCTCACGCTTAGAACACTGTTAGGCGATCCATGTCCTATGATGCAATCTTTGGAGCCAGTTTGCCAAAGGTTTCTTATTTTTCTTTATCAATGAAATAATGTAATTGTTGAAGAAAATATAACAACAATCTTCTTCCACGTACAGCATCCAAGAGACTATATTAAACGTAATTTATGCTCATAGAGCTTATTGGAAATGTTATCAGTACCAAGATTCTTACAGTATTGATAAAACGTCGTCTATCAACAAGAAAGATAAGCACTTACCCACTGTTTCCTTCAAGTAAGCGTCTTAATTAATCATCAAAATAAATCATTAGCAAAGACTTTTGAAAAAATCATTCTTTTTTTTCAGCGGACCAGAAACTTTTCCAACTGTCTATGAAACTCGAAACTGCTATCCTGTACAGAGCAACGCCGTAATACGAGAAATTAATCGAAAATTGGATGAGCTTATAAAAAGTAATCATCTTAGTTTTCTTTTTGAGGTCGATTATCGTACTAAAACATTTTTTTTTTTTTTTTGTTCTCAGTAACGAATCTCAAAAAGGCTCCAAACAGAGTATGCGTTGTCTACGACGAGAGAATGTTGAAACATTACAACGTGGTGGATGAAACTCATCCCGAGAAGCCAGGCAGGATTTCGAGTATTTTTTCCAAGCACAAAGATTACGAGTTGCTCGATCGCTGCCTGCTACTGCAAGTCAGTACACACATAAAAATAGCGTAGTAGTGATGATTTTACACCGTGTTGATAACATAAAAATCTTTAAAGGGAAGAGTCGCCAGTGAGGAGGAAATCTTATTGGCGCACGATCCGGAGTACGTGAACAGTATTAAAAAGACCGCTCAAACGAAACTGAAAGAACTGGTGGGTTTGTCCTCAAAGATGAACTCTGTGTACTTGCATCCCGAAACGTGGAACAGCGCTACGGTTGCAGCCGGTTCTCTGCTGCAAGTGGTCGACAGCGTTTTGAATGGAGACAGCCAGAGCGGGGTGGCGATGGTCAGACCTCCTGGACATCACGCCGAGCCGGACGCGGCTTGCGGCTTTTGCATTTTCAATAACATCGCGATCGCCGCCAAGTACGCGGTCTCGTTCCATCAATTAAAACGGTATGGACAATAGATATTGTGACCAGCTGAACTGGGAGTTCGGGGAAATTTGACAAAAATCGTTTTCAGGGTCTTGGTCGTCGATTGGGATATTCATCACGGAAACGGCACGCAATCAATTTTATACGACGACCCAAAAGTACTGTACGTATCGTTGCACCGTTACGACAACGGTAGCTTTTTTCCCCACTCAAAATCAGCTGACTATTCTGTAGTCGGTGAGGGCCGAGGAGAAGGATACAACGTGAACATCCCGTGGAACAAGGTATGCATTAATCTTGGTTTTTTTTTTCTAACATTAAAAAATAATTGCCTTGTTGAAACATAGAAAGGTATGGGCGATGCCGAATACGTAGCAGCTTTTCAACACGTCGTCATGCCAATAGCTTATCAGTACAATCCGGAGCTGGTACTAGTGTCGGCAGGCTTCGACGCTTGTATCGGAGATCCCTTGGGTGGTGAGTGTCAACTTTGCGGTTTCCGATCATAACGAATCACGAAAAATAAAAGAATCAATAATTGAAATACTCGTTAGGCTGCAAAGTAAGTCCCGAAATGTTTGGCCACATGACTTTCTGGCTGTCTTCGCTGGCAAACGGACGTATCATACTCAGCTTGGAGGGCGGTTACAACGTCAATTCCATCGGACACGCCATGAGCATGTGCTCGAAAGCACTGCTGGGCGACCCCTTGGTACCATTGGAAGCGAATTTGAGCCCTTGCTCGAGCGCAGTTACCTCAATAATGAACGTTCTCCGAGCGCACAAGCGCTACTGGCCGAATTTGGTTTTTCAAAAGTCACTGCCCCAAGAAAACGTTCTTCCTAAAGCCAAAATCCCACGTGCCAAGCCTACCGAGCGATTGCTCTCGGATTTCCTTGAAAAGCAACATTCACCGGCAAACGACCAACTTCCCGTTCAAGTGGACCGTTTGAACATCCACGATGACGATAGTGAAAAAATGAGCGAGCCACGTCACGCGCCCTGTGACAATGACGATCCCAATAATGATAAATCAAAAACTGAACCGGACAATAGCGCAGCGAGTAGTAGCAATGATGCTGGCGAACAAGGGTCAGCTCAAGCTGGATCTTCACAAAGTAGTACAAACAACGCAACGCTGCAGGATTACTTGAAAGATAACTTGCAGGTGAAAAGATTCACGAACAAGTTAAAAAAGCTTAACGGATGATGGTGACTTGAGGAGAGTTATCTATGTAGAATGATTTTTCAGGCGTTACTCGACGAGGACATGTTTGCAGTCGTACCCCTTCAAGACTGTCCGCATCTGAGTTCAGTGGCTCCTGTTCCGGAAGCCGGGATCGACATTCAAGCCCCGTGCGTCGAATGCGACAGTACCCTCGAAAACTGGGTATGTCTCGAGTGTTACACGATTCACTGCGCTCGCAACGTTAGACAGCACGCGCTACTGCACGAACGCTCGTCACGGCATCCTCTTACGCTAAGTTTTACCGACCTTTCGGTTTGGTGTTACGCTTGCGAGGCTTATATCGACAATCCTGTAAGTAATTATTTTTACTGAATATAGTCATCTTTTGATTACCATCTACACTTTTTTCATTATTTTTCATAATTTTTTTTTTTATTTTTTTTTTAATAGATTTTGTATGCTGCGAGAAATGCTGTTCACCAAAAAAAATTTAATACCGAATTACCATGGACCTATTCAGAAAGTACTGAAATTCAAGTACTTGAAGCTCTTAATAAATGATCAGAGTATCCGTGATTACCTTGTTTTGTAAAAAAAAAAAACAAAAAACAAAAAACAAAAAAAAAGACATTATAGATGTTGAACATAAACGAGGCATTATAATAAATATACAATTAACAATATTAATATTATTATGTAGAGTTTATTTAATTATTTACATAAAATATCAAAAATTTTGTAAATCAGCGAATTTATATTGTATAGAACGTCAGAGTGAAGATTAAAATATCGATTGCAAACAAAAATGTTTTGCATATAATTTGTTCTGCGGACGCTCGAAAGTTAACTAATACAAAAAAAAAACAGTAATATATTATAAGAATGCCTAAGAAACTTAATTTTATATTTACATAAAAAATACTGCTATGTAACTTGCAATAACGTCAAGTTTTTATGACAAATTAAACAAACGTACTAAAAGAGATACATTATTTTATACAAATTTGATCCTTGATTCAAATTACCATTTTTTAAAATATTTTCATACTAAACCAAGTGGTAACTGTCGATTTATCACGAGTATAATAGTAACTACATGCAGTCTATTTAATTATTTGTTTACTTTTGCTACCCTGTAAGGAACTAATAATTCGATGAGCATTAATATCACAAAAATAAAAATTCCGAATTTGAAATTTGCATTGATTGATGCGCGTTGATTTTTTCTTCATCACTTTGATCCATCCATTTTTTTTAGTTAATAAGGCCACGCTAATTTTTGCACATACATCCATGATAAAAGATGTATATGCAAAATAACAAGTCCACATGTCTACATTAATCACCTTTCATTTGGATTTTCAATACGCAAAAGTAGCAGATCGAATTGTTGCAAGTATCCAAAAATTTTATCAGGTAGCTTGGGAGCCAAATCAAATGAAAAAATAAATGACGCGCTAAAGAAATTGTGAAAAAAATCTACTTTTGGCATGTGCTCTATTGATAAGTGCGGACTAAAAGTCTGAACAATATGAAATTTATAATCCTTTGCAGTGTTATTCGTGCATTGTAAAGATGATCCTGAATATTTAAATTCATTGTAAAAACTAGAAGGCAACGCATAATACAGTCTGTAGGGTATTTTTTTAACATGCCACTTGTATTCACATTTCTTGATTGTTTGGCAAATCCTATTATTTATAAACTGTGCATCGCTAGAGCCTAATTCATCAACGTAAAAATCTTTGGTGAGCGTATACTTATGTCCTAAATTACTGGTGTACTCTTTTTTCGTGTTTCTTAAGTGTAAAAGACCCGTTGGTATAGGGTAAGTATGCGACGTCATGACGTGAATATGAGTTAAGTAAGGCTTAGACTTTAGCTCTTTTGACAAATGAGACGTTAAAGGTAAAACTCCACCTTGATGTAAAAAACCGTAAAATATTGCTAAAATAATATTACTCACGTACCAAATGATTTTTAAAACATTTTTTTCGGTAACTCTTGAGCTCGTGGTCGAAGTTTGTTGATTAGTTTCTGGAGCAACATTTACTGTACTTGCATCTAAGGGGTCTTCAACCCAGTGGGCAAACAAAAATACTAGTGGCAGAAGAACTGGTACAATAAATCTTGGCTCTTGATGTGGAAAAATAGAGAGCAAAGCAACAGGAACCGCAAACGATGATATCATTAGGCTTTCGATGCTCTGTATTCGCGGCAACTCAAGCCACTTACCTCTTAAAAAGCTAAAAATTCGAGTGAATGCAAATATGAATATCGATATTTTTCGTGTCGATGGAATATACAAAGTGCTGGATGATTATGAATTTATTTTACCTGTTAAGCATTTTGATGAGAGTAATGACAGCAATGACACCCACAACATTGAAAAGCAACGGCATATTGACGAGAAAATGCAAAAAGCGAGGATGAAGTCCGTGATGTTTAAGATTATTTGTGACTGAATTATATTTTAAAAAATTTAATGGGGTGACCACAAAGTTGTTGATGCTTATTTCAAAGCTGCTGATTTCTGCTATAGTAAGGTATCCAAAATATAAACTATCAAACAAAATCATTGCGAGAATAGTTGGAATCGTGAAGAAAACGAATAGGTAAAATCTAATGTGAAAATCTAAAAATCCGATACTTATAGAGCCTAAACCTCTTTGAAACCAAAAAAATATTGGAGGCCCTGCAAACGCTATAAAAGTTGGCCTATTAAAAATACCAAAAGCTGTAACCGTTGCAAGCAGTAGACAGTCATTCAAGGAATGTAGAGGCAATGATCCACGCAGTTTGTAAATTTTTGTTCGTTCCACTCCAGTCTTGGCTTTGTGATATTTATCCATTAAAAAATCATTCTGTACAACTACCTAAAATTGATTATAAGTGTGCGTGTTATTGCATAAAATGAATGGATTAATACTATTTTAAAATTATATTAATACCAACCTTATTAGATAATTCGATGCATCTTGCAACGTGATAAAGTAATATAGAAGTTAACACTATTTCAATGGAATTCGATAACGTTCTAGTACAATGTACCAGTACAATATAAGAACTTGCAAAAACTGTTAATCTATTGATGTAAGGTTCATGAAGAATTAAACAAATTTTGTACAAACAGTAATCTGATATGAATGACAAAATGGTCATCATAAGGCGTGGAAATACTACTAGGAAGTATGGACTCTTTAAAGTAGTACCAAAAAAGTGTTCACAATATGGATTAAGGCCTTGCAATAAAAAGTAAGGAAATTTAACACATAATTGAGGAATCAGCGAATTTCTCACGGGAAACGTGACATTGAATTCCCAAGGCTTGTAAACTTCAATATCAAAAGTATCACCTGTCAAAGCATCAATGATTAAAACGTTGACTCAAATTTTTTTTTTTATTTAAAAAAAAATTATCTTTACCTGCAGCCACTTCTATGAATTGAAAATATTCATCTGGATGAATGTATCCGGTCTGTGGAATAAAATTTAACACTATCCTGAGACAGGCAAATATCCAGTACACACTTCTCTTCGAGCAAAAATGAAAAATCCTATGATTCTCATTGCTCAAGCAACAAAACGATGGATTACAGTGGCGCATTTTTCAAGTACTATCGGCGTACGTACATTAACAAGCAATTATATGGGCGACAACGATCAGTGAACGATAAAAAAGTGTTTGTTATTATTGATTTCTAATTGACACAAGTGTGGCTTTATATTAGTTTATCATGAAAATAACAAAACTCCATGACGACTTTAACTTTAGCAAACTTCGGCCAAGCACACTAAAAAAATAAAAAAAATAAAATAATTGTCCATCCCAAAGTTTGTAAATAATACAATTAAATACAAAAGTAACACATGAAAGATAACCACACCATGATATAGGATATGTGATGAGGGTTCAGATTAAGAGCTGGCTGTCGTTGTTATTCTTGAATTTTTTGTACACCTGAACACTTTGTAAGGGAATGGGCAAGTACTTTTGTTGTTTTGTCAACAATTACATATTATTGGATGAACTATTAAAAAAAAAACACTCAAAACACAGCGCCCCACCTACATTTTCTACACAAGTATTTTATTTAGAACGTCTCGAAGCAGACTCGAAGCGAGAAATAAATGTATCGAACTCTATCGAAATACTCGAAGTCTCTAAATTAGTGATATATATATATAAGGAGAGTTATCTATGTNATATATATATATTTTTTGTAGCTCTCGTCTCTGCTGCGAATTTGCAAGAGAGCCAACTCGGTTGTAATTTTGATACCTATGTACATAAATAATAAATACGTACTTTTCTAAATTACATACAGTACAATCGAATAATGTATAGTAATTTAGTCATGGAAATTTTATAATCACGTTAAAAAAGGAGGTGTGTACGATAATTATCTAAACGCCCGATCATAACCTTTAAATCTTGTCTTGTCAACAATTCATTCAAGCCAACTTGTTTCTTGTTTTTAATCAACAAGTATTCCTTTTTTTTGCCTACATTTAATTCTACCAGTTTTTTTCTGCTAATGTAAATTTCATGATGAAAATAACCACATAAATAAAAACAAGTTAACGTATTTGCAGATCTGAATGAAACCTGCAGTTTAAAATTAATTGGTTTTTTCACTGAAGATAAAAACATAATAAATAATCAAAATGGGTCGAAGATCGATAAACACAACAAAAAGTGGGAAGTACATGAACCCCACAGACCAAGCAAGTAAGTATAAAATCGTAATTCTTATCACTGACGTTGTAACTTTCATTGTTGAATGTACACCATAATTTTTTTTCCCGCAATTTATAGGAAAAGAAGCTCGGAAGAAAGAATTGAAGAAAAATAAAAAACAGAGACAGTTGGTACGAGCAGCAGTTTTAAAAGGAAAGGATCCTAGTCAAATAATAGAAGAAATGGAAAAGATTGATCAAATGGGTATGTCCTAAACACATATTGAAAAATATTGTCGCAGTGTAATGAGAAAACAATTTTTTGCAGAATATAATGTCATGCAACCTCCACCATTGAATGAGAAGGTATTAAAAGACAAAAGAAAAAAATTAAAAGAAACACTTGACAGGGTGTTAAAAATGTATGTAAGTATACTTGACAAATTTCTGAATTGAATTATTACCAAACTACCGGTGTGGTACATGTGATAAAAATAAATAATTTTCAATCCAGGCTAAGGATGATCAAGAAAAGTGGGTGGAACTCAAAGAACAGATGATACAGTACGAAAGGAGGAGGATAGAACTGGTTTCTTACTTTGAGGCTGTAAGACACGCTCAACAAGTACAGATTGATGAAATTCCTTTGCCTGCTACAGGAAACGACATCAATAGGATTTATCCAGGTAAAATATTGTTTCAATCATCAAATTATCCATGAAATACGTTAATAGTGATTAAAACGGTTTTTTTCTTTTTGATGTTGACACAGGCTCCTTGACATCTCAAATTCCACTACCAGATATGCCACAACCACCTCTACATTCGTATCCAGTACAGTCACATTACCTTCCACAACATCATCCACTAGTAAACATTCCTGTGCCACCAAGTATATTAAAGAAAACTAGTTTATATTCATCAATGGCCACGTCCAATACATTGCCAACCAACAGAGAGCCCCCAGGTGTACCGCCTTTTCCACCTCCAGATTTGGGCCCTAGTGATGACGAAGATGACGATAGGGTAAGCTACTACTTTTTCTTTGGCTTTAACCATAAAAACCAAATATGTATAAATTAACTTTTGTAAAAATCTAGGTAAAAACAACTCACAAATCAAAGACAATTCGTTTCGCGGACGATGATAAAACTGATGACGATAAGAGGGACGAACACGAGAGTAGCAATAAAGATTTGGAGAAAAATAAGGAGAAAGAATTGGCAAAAAATAAGCCAACCAGCTTGCAGCAAAAAATGTTGGCCATGGCTGGTCAAGATATCGATCAGTTTATGAAGGAAATGGAAGTGGTACACAAGAAACGCGAGTCCGAACGTGCTCAAGACTTGAGCGCTCGTCTATCCTTGCTGGAAAACGATTCCGCAAACGGAGAACAGGATAATCCAACCGAGCAACCGACTAATGAAATGCCAAATGTTAACATTATGCCGCCGAACGCTCCAACTGTGCAACCACCTATGCCCCTAATGGGACTACCACCGCCGCCTCCACTGATGTACCGACCACCTCCTCCCCCGTTACATATGAGAATTCCGCCACCACCACCACCTCGTATGGGAATAAGACTTCCCCCTGGTAATATATTCGTGCATCGTTTATTTTTTCCAGAATATTCGTCCAGTGAAAAATTGTATTATGTTTTATTTAGGACCACCACCAGGTATGCCGAGGATGATGCGGCCGGGAGCTCCAATGCCGATGCCCAGAATGATGGGTCCACAAATGCAAATGCCAGGCTTACCTCCACCGCCTCCTATGCCCTCGAATATGATGGCAAATGCCCAAAAGACGCCCAATGTACTTTCGGCGGCTCCACAGCTGATAAACGCCCGGAAGAACAAAGATGCAGCCGGCAAAAGTTCTACAACGATCGAAGCCAAACCGCAAATCAGAAATCTGGCGGCCGATGTCACGAGATTTTTGCCAACATCGTTGCGCGTCAAAAGGGGCGATGAAAAGAAGAAACCTTCGGCCACTCCTTCCGCCTTGCCTACACGGATGCCCGAGCGGATACCTTCTGTTTCGGCTGTTTCTGCCGCGGTGACGGCGGCAGCGATGGCTGCAGCTGCGGCCGCTGCTGCAGAAAATCAAAATGCGGCTAAGGCCGTGCCGCAAGTTAAAACGAAGGACGATGCTTATTTGCAATTTATGCAAGAAATGCAGGGCTTATTGTAAATTTCTTCGCAAATTAATTTAAACAATGAAGTGCTCAATCATACATGCTTGGGTGCGACAACCTGTTGAATGTTGATTTTGCATTCTGTTCCGTATAATTATTGTAAAGTACAGTAAAATTCACGAATTTACGACTAAATTGAGTATTTGGACCAAGCTTTCAATTCTACCTTATCCTTTTTGGTTGAAACACGAAAATCACACATAAAGATAATTCAAGGAATCGGTAAACCTTTTTTTATTGATAAATATACACGTTTCGTTGTTTTATTGTGAAAATATATTATTTTACAATTGTGATTGGAGAAGTTTCAGAACGAACAACAGATTTTTGTTACATACGTATGTACATATATTATGAAGTAATTTAGTTATTAAATTATATTCAAAGTAATTTTTACACTTGCGAGATAATTGTTATTATTATTTATTCACAGCTAATCCAACGGCATATAGGTCCGAGACGTTGATCAGAACTTGATTATTTTTTTTGTTACTTTTTTCTCTAGTTTCAAAAATTTTTCCCTTTTTTTCCTCTTTATTCGATGCCGTAGATTCACTGGGAATCACACTGATGATTTTTTTATCGAGATATGACTTCTTCGATAGTGAATGCTCGCTCCCTTTGGGTAATTTCGACACTTGATAATTCACCACCTTTAAAATCGAAAATAATATCAAACCACATACTCAAAAGGTAGTAAGCAACTCGAGAGCGCCAACGTATCGAATGTTTGTCCACCTTTGCAACGCGATTCGATTTGATGGTCGTACTCGAGAAAGCCGCCTTATTTTTCACGGCCCCCTCCTTCTTCATGTCCTCGATCCTCGAAATGAGCATCCGAGTAGTTTGCGACGTCAGCGAGGACTCTGGCAACTCGGCGCGTCTTGCTTGGGATGTCTTGGTTCTCCGTTTGCTCGAGTAATTTTTCGCACAGCTCTTGGCCGATTTTTCAGTGCCGGCCTTAAGCTACGAAAAATCGGTTATCGACAAGCAAAAAAATAAAAATTAAGAAAGTGTGGGAAAGTGCGCTAAAACACGTGCGAGTAAAATGAATAAACAGATCAGAGACCGGTAGCGAAGACTTGGTCGCCCTCGGCATGGTCGTTTCGCCGGCGTCGTCGCTGTCTTGCAGGTGAACGCTCTTGGGAGTCGCGGTGCTCGTCTCTACGTCGCGGCTACGCAAACTGGGGACAGGGTCGACTTGACCGGTAACGAGATCGGCACGCGCAGGAGGAGCCTCGCGCAGAGCCGGGATCTGCCGGGACATGCCGCTCGGCGTCCGTAGCTTGAGATACTCGTAGAATTCGTTGTCCAACTGCATCTCGAGCTCCTCCATGAGATCGACGAGCACCGGACCCACGCGAATCGCCGTTTGCTGCTGTTGCTGGAGCAACGGAGCTCTTTTCTTCTTCAACGAAGCCTGCGGGTTTCGCGTGTGTGTCTCTCACTTTGATACATCGCAAATGGGCATTAGGTAAATACTAAAATACCGAAGTTACGATGGCGGTGGTGTTGCTGTTGGTACTCGAGCGCTTGCTAACGTCCCCGGGGGAGAACGAGATCCGCGTTCCCTGGAGCGAAAGAGCCGAGCCCAGGTAGGCCTGGCAGGAGGACAACTTTTGCTTGTAGACGAGCTCAAAGCCGCCCGTGTCGGCGTTGGAGTTCTCCCTGTGGTCTATCACCACTGGGGAGGATAGAGGGCCATTATATCGTAACAATTTCAATGGACATCACCTGAAGTAGGGTTATTGGTGGTACCTTTGATCGTGTCCTCCATGGCTTTGCGGCAGAGTCGCGTCGTTACGCTTGTCGAGTTGCTCATGTCCGGATGGCTGTTGATCTCGATGAGCCAAACAGAAAAGTCCTCCATCACCATGAAATCGGCTCCGTACAGCTCGAAGCTGTTCTTCCGCTGGTCCATCGCCTCTTGGCTTGCCAACAATGACCCGACCAAGCCCTCCTTCATCCCCGGATATATCATCTTGTCCCAGGCGTCCTCGTTACCTCGGACTCCCCTGTAAGTACTGGCTTGGCGAATAATGAACAGCTCCGTACACGATGTCGCGTGTTTCGCGCTTACCTCAGGTACTCCTTGAAGGCAGCAATGTCCCACATGTTCTCCGCAGGCAGCGCAGCGTCCCTGTCGGGGCTGTTCTTGTACTTGCACTGGACGGCGTTGTTGGACAGGTGGATGGACTCGTGGAAATTCGTCAGGCTAAACGTTTGCGAGCAAAAGCGCAGGTAGCTCTCTCTGAAAAAAAAAGCGCCGCGTCTTGTACACCTACATGTATACCAACGTAATCGCAGGAAATTAAATTTCTTCGGCCTAGTTTCCTCCCTCCAGATCGTGACTTTGAGCTTATTGTAAGTTATATCTAGCAGTCCCCGGGACTTTTACATACGCCATACAGCTGAGCATGTGATTAGCTTTCACTACATTTTATCATTGTAACAATTAATTCGTGTATATCGAAAAACTAATTAGCTGCACGCTCGCTCTGGATACCGAAAAAAAAAAAAGAATGCATCACCTACTTTTTTTTTCAAATGCGCGAACGTATCGATATAACAATATATATGTATATTGGCAGTAGGTATACTTGTACATCCAAATTGTCAACGGTTGGGCATTGGTGATGATGAACCATTGCCTGATATCGAACTTGGTGTTGTAAATCAAAAGCGGACGCTCTGCAATCGTCGAATCGCCGGTGGTCGACGTATACAAGGGAGCCCATCGCAGGTGAATGGCACGTATGTATACAAATACACAAAATACTTGGTAAATTATTAAGTAATGAAAAAAAAAAAAAAAAAAAAAAAAAAAAAAAAAAAAAAAAAAAAAAAAAAAAAAAANAAAAAAAAAAAATCGATATGAGAAGGCATTGTTATCATTTTTTTTTTTTTTCTCGTTTTGTTTTGTTTGTTTGTACTGTCTGACCGATGTACTTTTGTACGACGAAGCGCGTGTCCGTGGCCTTGTTCGTCGGATTGACCTTGGCCATTATGTCGTCGAGTTTGTTCATGAGAGCGATACCCCGACCCCGGCTCTTGTTGCCCGGCTTCAATATCCATATGTTCATGGTGCCGTCCATGTCGAGCTGCGGCCAGTACTTTTTCAGCCTCTTCAAGAGATTTTGCGCACCCAGCGCGTACTTCTGTCCTCGTGACCGAACGTTAACAAAGTCCAATGGCTTATATATTACATGTATCGGTATACATGTGTTATGCGCATGATATATGTATACAGCTTACGTTGAGCGGTACGCCGTTGTTTATGAGCAGCGCGTTCCCGTGGACGAGCTTGTAGTACCAGGTGATGAACTGCTCCCACTGGTGGGACCAGACCTTCTCGAGGTCCTGGTCAATGTCCTCGTGGGACTTGCTGCCGAGTAAGTCGCTGCACCGGCCGAGAGCAAAGTCCAGGGCTTTCATGGGAACGACGCCATTGGCTGCCCTCACCGATTCCTCACCCTCGGCCGCCACCTTGCCCGCGAACCACTTGAGCAGCGACAGGCACGCGGTCAGCCTATACATTACAACGATTCGTCAACATGTATATTATTACGCTCGCGTGATGAGAAGTTGCGTCGTTGAACGCGCCTGAAGTCGTCGATGAAGGCGTGCAGCTGGTCGGACTGGCTGATGTTGTAGCAGCGCGGGAACAGGGTGTTGGCTATACCGGCCTCGTAGTACCAGTGCATTTGGCGCACGTTGGAGCACAGGCCCACCTGGACGATGCAATAAACATATATACACGATGGACAAATTTATAACCCATGACCCGGGCGATGAGAAAACAACAGCCATAAACCTTGGACGTGAAGTTGGCCCGGGCATACCGGTTGAAGATGGTGGTCTTGTTGTCCTGGGACGGCCAGCCGGTCCACACGGAGCCGGCGTTCCAGAGAAAGTCGACGGTGTGGTTAGACAGCATCCTCGAGACCAGCAGCCGCTCGTTTTGCCGCTCGGCGAGGTTACCGATCCCGGCCATCAGAGCCGACGGGTTCGAGTCCACGCTCAACTGAAGCAGATCGCCCACTGCTATATGCAGTACACGCGTACATTCTTTATGGTGTCTCAATCGTTTGTCATGATTTAGTGTGTGTGTGTGTGTATGTATGGGTGCACGATGCGATGAAGGTGCGTATAAGGCGAAAAAAAATGGTGATGACTGACTGGGTGGCGGTGAGGCGGCGCTACCACCGCCGCTGGTATCGGTGACGCTCCTCCTATGGTACTTTTCGCACCAGCCCCTAGCGAGCAGGCACTCGCGGATGACGCGGGCTCGGCCGCATATCATGAAGGTCTTGCGCTCGGCAATGGCGCTCTTGACGATCCGCTTAATCCGCTGGAAGTGCTCCATCTGCTGCTGGTTCGGATGCGCCGGCTGGTTGGGATGGTGATGCCGAGTCGGAGGCGACGGCGACGGGGTCGTTGTTTTAACGGGCGTCTCCTGTTGCTTCGATGCGGTCGGACTCGCCGAACCGGATTTCACCGGCGAGGCCGGGACCGACGTCTTGCTCGCAGCCGCTTCCGTCGACGACATCTCTTACTTTTTAACGATTAGTAGTTACGTGTTTAATTGAACCACCTTGCGCGTTGTATGTACATCAGGTAAGCTTTGTCATGTTTCGCCTCGATTAAAACGGCCGATCTCCGCGAGCGCGGGGTAGCTCGATCGGTTAACGAGAAAATCGGCAAGCGATCGACCATTCCCCTACATTACTCCGTGAGCACTGAGCTTTCGGCTCTCGATCGCTCGTGCCATTATAGCTTATACAGGTAATGCCTGTACCTCGGGGGTGTGTACCCCCCCCCCACATCACCCGAGCCCAAGAGGCATACACATGTGGTATAGATACATATAAAAATAGGTATATACATATGTGTATAATACATGGAATCGTACGATTAGCTGACTGACCCAGTTTTCGATATCGCGGCCAGGCCACATGCCATCGCCTCCATCACCTACTTTGGCAAATTCCACCAGCTACACGTGTAGTAACCACCCCTGTACTTTGCTCCCTCCCCGTGACGTCTCAAACGAAATTATTGCAACTTATATGCACATGCCTATATCTACGAGCACGTGTGTGCGGGGGCGCGGGGGGCCACGAGAGGGAAGAAAAGCACAATTTTTTTTCTTTCCACTTAAGCGCATGCGAGCACGCAATCCCGTGTGTCCTATCTTTTTGCTATATACCCCCCCCCCCCCGCGCAACTTGTGCATGTATACATGTTGTATTGCACACACGCTAATGGCTCGTTCAAATCGGGGAGTCGTGTTTTTGTGTGGTTGGCGATCACCCGCGACGCCCTGGAATCCCCAAACCCTCTCGATTTCTTACCTAACTGTAATTTAAAACTCGAAAATTGGACCGGAAACCGTGGCAATTTAACTTTATCGCGGTGTTAATGCTGATGCTGCAACTTCAACGCGTGACTAAAATAATAAAAAAAAAAAAAACTTGGATATTACTTACCTTTGGTTGATTGTGGGTGCCAGTCGTTGAGATTGGGTATTATTATTTATTTTTTTTTTTTTCGCTACGATTTTTATCAGCTCCCGATGATTTTGTCACTTCACTTAACACTTGTGTCCGTCATGAGGTGCGGCATTTTTAACTTGCTAATTTACTTTGAGATGTTGGGCACTAAAAATTTTCCATCGCGTGTGTTTTTCGACCTGTAATGTTGTAACCTACAAAGTTACAACATTGCAACTAACAAATTCTACGTATGTTATATGTATGTATGTATGTAATGTATATAGGCACCCATCATCATTTTTCTCTTGTTCCAAAAGAATACAACATTACATACTTACTTAGATTTTGAATCGTCAATTATGACTGTTGGTGCGTGCAACTCTAATAAGCCACAGTATAAGTTAATATAATTATATCTATATAGTAATTATAATTGGACGCCACTGATGAAACTAAAACTTTTCTTTTAAAATTAGGTTTAATTGTAGTTCAATTAAATACATCCAAAAAAAGGGGACTGCGGTATCTCGAGTAAAAAACGATCCCACGAAATCATCCAATAGTACATTTTTTTTTTTTTAGCTAACGATAAATCATATAGAGCCTTGTAATAATAAAATGTTTAAAAACTCCTGTAGTTATATTGAAATTAATTGTTTACCTAGAGCTATTGAAAATTTAGCTGTTAAAAATACTTAATTTTTAATACTAGTAAATATATGGGGTTGAATTTTCTAATTAAATAGGGATATTTAAGAGATCGGAGAAAAAATATTGAAGGGGTGGCGCCAAGGGGGGTGTTCTTATAAATAATCGAGATTCGAGCTTGTACGATAATACTCGAAATAGCGGCGGCCGCGACTTAAACAGCTGCATATATATGTATACATGATACCTATCTATACTTGCAGTAATTGCAGACGTTGCAGTGCTGCCGCAAGCAGTGTCGCTTCAGGTTGATGAAGTGATTGAGAAATATATTATAGTCGTACTGTACTTTATTCTTTTTTCATTTTTTTTTTTTTGGTCTTGTAATTTTAATTGGTTTAGTTTTGATCAGTTAAAAGTGCTGTTACGTTGAAAGAAAAATAATAATAGTAGTACAAAATGGCGAGTGTACTGCAAGATTTAAAGCATTTACTATTCACAAAGGCATGTTTGAAGGAGTACACGGAAAATTTTAACTTTCTGCACGGTAAGGACAACTCCGTGTATTTTGGATTTACTTATCAAATGGGCACACAATGTTTGTCCTCGTCACTTTTTAAAATGAACTTTGGAATTTTAAATTGTACTTACCAGTAACAATAATAACAATTGATTTGAGCAAGTCGTCGTGGTTTTTGCGATTTTTTTTTTTTACTGCCACGTATATAAATGAGAGATAACAGGAGGATACATATCTTCCAAAATTACTGATACATCTATACTCTTACTTGGCTTATCTGCAATACAGGAGCCAATGAACGACAGACTTTAACCATTGTCTTGATTTTTATTTATTTTTAATTCACGTTCCCATTGGCAAAGAAAAATACAGGGCTTATTTTGGTCCATTTTCTATAAATGTATTTTTTTACGTAACAGTTTGCCTCCTTTCAATTGCGGATGATGTTAATCGATTTTTAAAAATTTTAAAAAAATGATCCTCAAAGTACCTACGTGACGTGATTGGTTAATTAAAAAAAACAATTATTGCCTTGCAAAATATTATAAATAATACAAAATAGCTTTGACCAACCACGAGCCTGCTTTGTATTAACTTTTTATCTAACGTGAAATTCTCTTGTGTCAATTGAACGATTCTCGCTTGCAAAATGCTGTGCTCGCACCATTATCTGTAACATGTATCAACAGAATAGCTGACCGGGAATTTATTGAGATATCGAAAGTTAAGATGTGAGAAAATCTTTGGACAAATTTTTTCCATTCACAAGTACAACGCTAATATTTTTTTTCAGCGGAATGTTTCAAAATAACGCTCAGCAAAGCCTTGGGCCTAGCTATTATTGCGGGCTCTTTCATGGGTAAGTTTTTATTTGATCACGATCATTTGCAGTCAGGAATTATTAAAATGAAAAAATAACAAACCTAATACATGTACTTTTATTTTTCAGTAAAAATACCACAAATAATGAAAATATTGAAAAGCGGAAGTGCAAAGGGAATAAACATCATCAGTGTACTGTTAGAATTGTTAGCCATTTCAAGTATGGCATCGTACAGCTACATTAGCCAATTTCCATTTAGGTAAAAAGAATCACCATCAAATGTTTGGTAGGTTTTCCACTTATACTATTTAATAAAAAATCTTTTTTTTTTAGCTCTTGGGGTGATGCTATATTTTTAGGGTTGCAAACGGTTACAATTGCTTTCCTAGTTGTATACTATTCCAATGGTATGACGAAAGCTACAGCATTTCTTAGTGCCTACACTGCTGTAGTTGCAGCAATCGTATCTGGTTATGTACCTCTTACTGTTTTGTGGTTTGCTCAAGCTATGAATATTCCTGTTATTGTAACTAGTAGGGTAATATGTTTTTATTATTCTATTTTGTATAGAGCAATCGTTCTATGTATAATTAAACCAATATTGACTTTTTAAATTAATTTCAGTTAATACAAGCCTACACAAATTATTCAAATGGTAGCACTGGACAATTGTCAGCTGTTACCGCTTTCTTACTGCTATTTGGAGCTGTAGCTCGAATTTTCACATCGATTCAAGAAACTGGAGATGCAATTATGATAGCAATGTTTACTGTCTCGACTCTGATGAATGGAATTATTGTGGCTCAACTTCTCTACTACTGGAATGCAGCGGAAAAGAAAGTCAAAATTTCAAAGAAGAAAAAGTGATGGCATGTAATATTATTTTCAAGTAGCTGCTGCTAATAAAACATCTGCATACCGACATTCCAAAGAACATGAAATGCCTTTGTTGATAACATCTTCAATAATTGAAAGACGATATTATTGTTTTTAAAGTCTCGACTGACTGTGAAAAAAGTGTAAATATTAAGTATATTGTAAGTCCAAGTTGAATATCACTTTTATACAAAACATCGTTTTCAAAAATGATGATTGAAAATAAATAGAAAAAATTGTTTACGAAAAAAAAAAACAAAAATTGCAAAAGTATACCGCATGTGCATGTAGACGAATCCTATAAGTACACTGATACATAAATACTTATCACTTTACCTAGAAGTACTCGGATTGTTGACGTGACGGTGACATGCGCGACTGAAGTGGAAAAAGTGGCTCTGATGTACTTGCCGGTTTATGCTTGTTTTTTTTCTCTCTCCCAGCAACAGAAAAGTGTCAGCAGTCTGATGTAATTCTCGGAACAAAATACTATCTTGTTTTTCTGTAACAACCACCTGTCCATTCGTTATTGTCTTTAATTGCAACAGTTAAATTGTATATTGTCCATCCGTATCAAATACGTAACACTACATATTGCAATAATGTCCTTGTATATATTGAATTTTAGATTGTATTAGTCAACGAATCCTTCGAATTTGACAACACAGCGTTGTTTGTTCACGTTATACAGTACGAGTTCTATAATTACAATTGCTAACTAATAGATAAAACTATTCGATTCTCAATTTAATTCAAAAACTGATTGAACGTCTCGTCTGATCGACTCAATTCAACTGATGAATGTAGGTATTGAACTCTGCATTTCGAATACGCGCTGTTATGGTAATCGCGGTTGCCACCTTACCAACAAACACTAAAAAATGTTTTTGATTTTTAGTAAAAAATATTTTTTAAATTCATTATAGTTAATTGTTAATTACATAAAACGATTATATAATCATGGTACTATGGTGATCTTAAATAGTACCATTTTAGTAATTTTTATTAATACTTAGAAGAGTGTGTGTGAAAAATTTAAGGTACTCAGACTCACGTACTTAGTAAAAAGAGCTGACATAACGTATGTATGTACAATTTACTACACGATATTTATGTACAAATGCGTATGTATATATATTTTTACTTACCAAGAGTGTATATATGTTTGCGTATATAATACTGCAAAATAAAAAATATTTAAAAAATAATCCTTTCAGACCTTGATCAGCGTCATTTATGTATTCAATACGTATAATTACTAAAATAGTGATTCGGTGTGATAAATGTATAAGCAATTAGTGATTTCTGAATAATTTGAAGGAACTATTAATTACCGGAAGACACGACACATTTTGGAGCTCTGCAGTAAAGTAGTGCTTGTAAAGGTTATAAAACCGCTGCCGACGCTGAAAGTATCTGAATTTTTTTTTTTTTTTTTTTCATTTCTCGGAGTATACCTGTAGTAAATTCACCTTCAGCGGCTTCTCTAAAAGAAATTGATGCCTGACTAAATACCTACTACTAGTTATTTGCTCAAGATCACTGCGAGGATACATATAAAAAGAGACAAAGAGAGAGAGGGAGAGAGGAATGGATTAATCAAGAGTGTGAGTGAGAGTTAATTAAAAGAGTTGAAGAGTAAGAAAGAAACTAAAGTCGTCGAAAGTGCACAAACTCATTACACAAATTGAATGTCAAACATTTTTAACCTCTTTTTCCCTGTATCTGCTGATCTATATTTGTTGCGTTTCTTTAAAAAAGTAATTAATTTTGTAGAATATACCAGTATTTTTAGCTGTCGTGAGTTGTCAATCATTTGTTTAAGTGCTTTGCGGAGATATAAATAATAGCAAGTTCTGTGGCTTCGCCTTGCATACTCGTAATGAAAAAGATTTAATAAAGCAATGTTCAGAGTTGTTTAGTAAAATGTCATGCACTTTATTAATGTTTATCTTTTAGCATTTGATTATTTTGTGCTATTTTTACTGACTGATGCAAAAGCTATTCGATTTTCAGGTTACGCTCGTCATCACAAGTAATATTAAGTACCACCTTGGCACTGGAGCACTAAAAGGTTCATCATCACAATGGCAGACACCGCTGCTACGACAACCTCATCTGGGAATACTCAGCAAAATAAAAGGCCAAATTTTTCCAATGGAGTCAATAAAATAACGCAAAGTTTAGCTACTGGTAAACCCGGTACTGCCAAGAAACTTATTATAAAAAATTTTAAAGGTACGATTACATTTTTTAAGAACCTGTTTGTTGTTAGCTCTAATCTTTTGCGACTTATTTTTTTTTTGTGTTAACTTTTTATCTTCATAACGTGTACTTAACAATTTTACAGAAAAGCCAAAACTTCCTGAAAATTATCAAGAAGAAACATGGAAAAAACTTAGAGAGGCTGTTGTGGCCATACAAACTAGTAAAAGTATTCGTTATTCTTTGGAAGAGCTTTACAAAGCTGTTGAAAATATGTGTAGTCATAAAATGGCATCAACACTTTACAGCAGCCTCACCATTCTTGTAGAAACACACGTGAAGGCAAACATAGAACAATTTTTAGCTGAATCCATGGATAGACATATATTTCTCAAAAAGATGAATGAATGCTGGCAGTCCCATTGCAGACAAATGATAATGATCAGAAGTATATTTCTTTACCTTGATAGAACTTATGTTTTGCAAAATCCCGTGATACTATCTATATGGTAAACAACATTTTAATATTTTGTATAATTATCTCGTTAATGTGATAAAGTAACAGTAGATTTTCAGGGATATGGGCTTGGGCTTATTTAAAAAACATATTGTGGAAAATAATTTAGTCCAGACTCGCACTGTGGAAGGGCTTTTAATGTTGATTGAGAAGGAGCGTCAAGGAGACACGGTCGATCGGACCTTGCTCAAATCGCTTTTGCGAATGCTCTCTGATTTGCAAATTTATCAAGATGCTTTTGAATCCAAGTTCCTTATAGCCACAGAAAGATTATATGCAGCAGAAGGTCAAAAACTGATGCTGGAGCATGACGTGCCGGAATACTTAGCGCACGTTGACAAACGACTGCAAGAGGAGAATGAAAGACTTTTGCACTATCTCGACAATACCACTAAGTAAATTTACTTTGTAATTTTTTAAGTAGAATGATTATGATTTTATTGTTGGAAATTAAAAAATTATTAAAATTCTCTTTCTCTTCAGATGGCCATTGATTCACACAGTAGAAAAACAGTTGCTGTCCGAACACGTAAGTAGTATTTTACAGAAAGGGCTTAGCGGATTGCTTGATGAAAACAGAATCAGCGATTTGTCTTTACTTTATAACTTGTACAGTCGAATCAAAAATGGCTTGGTAGAACTATGCTTAAACTTTAATTGCTACATCAAGGTAAGAAATTACACTAACCATTACTGCTATTTTAGTTGATTCAAAAGCTTTAATGTTTTTTCAATATTTTACCAGAAAAGGGGAAAAACGATAGTTATAGATCCAGAAAAAGATAAAACTATGGTGCAAGAATTGTTAGATTTCAAAGATAAAATGGACAACATTGTAAATACCTGTTTTCACAAAAATGAAAAATTTGCAAACAGTTTAAAAGAAGCTTTTGAAGCTTTTATAAATCAAAGAGCGAATAAACCTGCAGAACTTATAGGTAATACTCCACAGTTATTCTTATTTATTTCAAACGCGTAATGAAAAAAACTCGAATGCAAAAGTACATTGCTAAAATTTTATAAATATTCAATGCTCCTTTTTTTTCATCAGCAAAGTTCGTCGATTGTAAATTGCGTGCTGGCAATAAAGAAGCTACCGAGGAAGAGTTAGAAAGGCTGCTAGACAAGATTATGGTTCTATTCCGCTTTATTCATGGAAAGGACGTATTTGAAGCGTTTTATAAAAAAGACCTGGCCAAGAGACTGCTGGTGGGAAAATCGGCGTCAGTCGACGCAGAAAAATCCATGCTGTCCAAACTGAAACAAGAATGCGGTGGAGGTTTTACAAGTAAACTTGAAGGCATGTTCAAGGACATGGAGTTAAGCAAAGACATAAATATTGCATTCAAGCAGTACTCGGGTAATCTACAAAATGAACTAATAGCAAGTAATCTGGACCTCACCGTTTCTATCTTAACAATGGGTTATTGGCCGACGTATCCTGTTATGGAAGTCACTTTGCCACCAGAAATGGTCCAGTATCAAGATGTGTTTAACAAATTTTATTTAGGAAAACACAGTGGCAGGAAACTGCAATGGCAGCCTACTTTAGGTCACTGTGTACTCAAGGCATGGTTCAATCAGGTAATAAGTACTAACTTGTTTTTTTCTTCTAACCCAGCTAGTTATCAGTTTTATTCGTTAAATTCTTTACTTGCTTATTCAGTTAAAATTTTTCTGATAAATTTGTACTTTGTAATACACAGGGCAAAAAAGAACTACAGGTCTCGCTATTCCAAGCGCTTGTTCTAATATTATTCAATGAAACAGACCATTTGTCTTTTGAGGAAATTAAAGCAGCAACAAACATTGAAGATGGTGAACTAAGGAGAACGTTACAATCGTTAGCTTGTGGCAAGGCACGCGTACTCCAAAAAAATCCAAAAGGTCGTGATGTCGCTGATAACGACAGATTCATCTTTAACGCCGACTTTACGAATAAATTATTCAGAATAAAAATAAACCAAATACAAATGAAAGAGACTGTAAGTATAAGTAATTTAATTTGTGCTTCAAATGTTGTATTTCTTGCATAGTTTATTTTATTTAAATGTTATTAATACTTTAGAACGAGGAGCAAAAAGCCACGGAAGAGCGGGTCTATCAAGATAGACAGTATCAAATAGACGCAGCAATTGTGAGAATAATGAAAATGAGGAAAACATTAACACACAATCTTCTTATTAGTGAACTGTACAATCAACTCAAATTTCCAGTGAAGGTAGAGATGCTTGTATTTTTGTATTCTTACTCGAAATTAACTTTTTATTTTCAACAAGATTAAAATGTCAATGTTGGTAAACACTTTGTTAATTTTTAGCCTGCCGATTTGAAAAAACGAATAGAATCATTGATAGATCGTGACTATATGGAAAGAGACCGAGATAATGCCAATCAATACAACTACGTCGCGTAACCTTCTCACGTAAATACCAAAGGTTCATCGAGTTCGATTGCAATGAAGTTTTATAATAAAAGTAAAAAAAAAATGCAAGTCATAGTAAAAAAAAAATAATATAACTTTTTTGTAATAAAAGGTCACTTAAAAATAATGAATGAAATTGTTCGATAAAAGATTCTGTTAATGAATTTGGATTATTGAACAAAAACTGATCAATTACAGAGGAAGTGATTTTTGACGAAATGCTAGTAATAAAAAAGTAACGTTTAAGTCAAATAAAAAATGTTGCGTTGAAAATAAGACCGTGGTAACTTTTTTAAAAAGCACTCATTTTTTCAGCATTACCTTCTTTACTTAATCAAATCAACATGAAACGAATATCTTAAGCTGTGATTAATATTTACAAAATTAACATGAAATTCTTCATCCAAAAATCTTATGTAAATCAAAATAAATTGATGTATGATAAAGTCCTAGATAAAAATATATAAATTATGTTTTTGCTTGATGCATAATATGCGTGAACTTATAAAGAAACATACATTAATTTTATGTAAAAAAAAAAAAAAAAAAATGTTTTCAACTTTTTCGGAATCTCGAATTTTCGTTTTCAAATTTGTGCTTTGTAAGTTATAAGTAATTGTAAAAATTTTCATTCAATTCTCGGCGATTGCCGTGTTAAACACGCATCAAATAATGAAAGGTGTTATTTTTTCAATTTTTTTTTTTTCTTACTATTACTACTTACTTTTATCATACTATTTAATATAAAATTAATTTTTCTATTCCTACTCGGCGTATAACTGAGGGTGTAAAATCGTTTTTAACTGCTACTCAGTTTGACTGCCTTGTAAAATAAATGAACCAGCCAATACACAAAATAAATATTTACAAATACAAGCTAACGTTTTTCAATTAAATTAAACTCGTGATCATCAATGATGAGAAAAGCAGAGAGAATTGCTATTCAGAAGGATGTATGTCAAAGTTGTAAATAGGTACTTGTAATAAAGTGCATACAATAAGAAATGTCTGTTTTTTGTTTTAATTTTTAAGAAAATCCTCACTTCTCACAATAAAAACAATATTTTTTAACCTTTCAGTATTTTTCATAGGTGAGGATTATCACCGTATGAAAATAAAAATTCTGCCTACTGAACGTTTTTTATACAGACTTGCAAGATTTTTGTGTTTGCAAGTATTCAGTTCTCTTGTCGATTTCATGAATAAGTGACTTGACAAAGTTCTCTGGACTAGATTTTCTATTAAGAAAATCAGCTACCAGCTTTGAAGGAGGCTTGCCACCACCATGAGCCAGGCACTCATTTCTGTAACGTTCACCTGAGCTTCGACTCAGTGGGTCAGCTTCAAAGTAGGTATGCCAAATCCATGAAGCAATGGCACGAGATACAAGGTATGAATAGTACTTGGCACCATAACCGACCAAGTGGGAAAATCGTAGTTGCCAAGCCTTTAATGAATTAATTTTTATCAAATCTCGTTCTTGAAGATTCTTTTTTATTATTATTATTAACAGCGTATTTAAACTAACTTACCGTGTTGGGAACATATGGTAAGCCATAATATTGATTTTGTATTTGTTCCAATATACTTGTCGTTGATGTTTTACATTTGCCACTATGATATACTTGATCTAGCATACTGTAAAACACTTGACTCTGCATTTCTGATGAAGGAAACAAACTTTTTGAAGTATACAGCTGATGCACCATTTCTTGAGGCATTGATTCACCAGTTTCATAGTGTTTTGCAAATAAGGAAATGACCTGTAGATATGTGAATCATGTGTTTTCACAAATAATAGTTCGTTATGACTCTTGTAATTATTTTACAGAAACATTTAAGCTTCATTTTGAAAACTCACTCTTGGGTCGGATGAAAAGTATTCCATAAGTACACTTGGCACTTCCGCAAAATCTGTGCTACATCTTGTTCCCGTAACATGTTGGTATTTCGTCCTTCCAAGCATAGAATGCAAAGCGTGACCCATTTCATGAAACAAATTATCTACAAGGGAAGGACTTAACAAAGAAGGAGCTGATTTGCTCGGTGATGGTAATGTCAGCATAAGTACGACCACAGGGTTCTATATAGTTAATATGAAATAAATTATTTACAATTGAATGATGCAACGAAATTAATTACAAATCTGTACCTGATACGATCCATCAGGAAGTTGTCGTCCCCCTCTAATGGTAAAGTGGCAATCTTGCATGGGTTTGTTTCTTCTGTCAAAAAAATCACAATAAATATGACCAAGTAGCTCTTCATTTTCATCAATAACGGCTAATTTATGTACATAAGATGACCATGCCTCGCCAGACAACATCGGTTGGTTTTCTAAACGCACTCCATATAACGCCTGCGTCAAAAGATTCAGACCTTCCATGCAGGCTCCAAGTGAAAAATAAGGAGCAAATTTTTCGTTCGATGAGCCCAACCACGATTTTCGGGCTTTGTTTGTGAGATAAGCCGTATCCCACGGCATTATCGGCTGATGTGTAATTAATTTATTAAACGTTAAGAACTGCTCCCATACCAACTTTATCGTCAATTTCTCGTTATTGCATGCTACATGAATTTTTAAATACCTGCTGAGCTTGAGAATCACAATTCTTTATTTTTTGTAACTGGTCGTATTCATTCTGAGCTCGGTTTCTCAACTCGTCAGTCATTAGGTTCAAAAAATCATTTACAAATTGCGGAGTTTCTACTGTACTTCCACGCACAGCTCTAAAATCATGCAGTATTAAAACATTTAAAAAAAAATAAAAATTGCACTGTAGGAGAAATAAATAATGCGTTTTTTTTTTACCTATGGGCATAAGATGGAAAACCGCAAATATGAGCCAAATCGTGTCTTGAATTTAATAAATCCTGAAGTAGTTCTTCTTGTTTTGCATCAGGAAACAAAAATATTTTATATGCCAGCTCTCTTACCAAAGCATCAGAGGAATCTGAGTTTAAACCGCCCACTACAACGTTCGTTCCATCATTGGTAAAACTAAAGTGAGACAATAGTTCGTCAATTCATACAATACTGTGCATCTTATGATGAAGAAAGATAACTACAAGTCATTGAAGATATTAAAGATAGTTTAAGATTTCTCAAGTATCTTAATACGTATAGTTGCTATTGAAATTTTAAAGACATAATTTTTCATCTAAAATGGCTGAAGAAATATTTTACAACTTACTTATTCTGTACACTTGGTGGCAATGCTTTCATATCTGTGACTCTGGGCTCAAGTGCACCAGCCATAAATTTTTGTCCACACTGTTATTTTAATATTATGATTAAATGTTGAAATGTACTTGCATCAGTAATATGTTTTCAGTTTTACCTGTAGTATAAAATCATTCAACTGTACAACCTGAAATCTCTGTTTTTCTGGTAAATGAATTCCACATTGTTCAAAATCAAAAAGGAAGAGATTAGCTACATGATTATCTATTTCGCTTGTTTTTACAATATCTCCATTTTTGAGAACATTCGAAAGAGAATTGTAAAGCTGAAAATTCGTGTTTAGTCTAAAAATGATAAAATTAAAACAATTTTTAATTTTTTTTTTGGTAATTTAAAAATAATTTTATTGGATGTGAAAGAAAAATTTACTTTTCTACAATTCCGCTGATGGTGATGCAAGCATTTTCCGCAGCTTTTGAATAATCAGCACTGGGATGAGCTATCCTCACAAATTCTGCCATATCTGCTACCTGACACAATGTATCTGACAATTCATCAAAAATTTCCACCATTTTTCTAGAACGTGTATCAGATTTGGTAGCTTCATCGATGAGTTTGTTAGATCGTGCAATAGCTCTATCTTCCAATTCTTGAAAACCAGTTGCATTTTCTAACTCTGGGATACTGAACAAACCCTGCAAGTGCGACAAATGATTCTAAATAATAGTTTGAATATGACTTTTATGAAAAAAAGAGTATGTTTACAGATAGACGCAGTTTTTAGGAAATCGAAAAGAATAATAGTGCCGAACTTACGGTCTCTTTATGGCCAAAACTGACGGTAAAGTTACTGCCAGGTTTTGCATTAAAAGCAGTGGCCAGAGGTGACCACGTGTTTAAACACCGTCTTGCCGTTCTCAGCATTTTGTGCCCCAGTTAGTTTGAAATCAACTCAATAAAAAAATTCCAGGGCTACAACGTAATATATAATGTTGTGGAAAATGTGCTCTTCATTGCATTGCGGTCGACTAACAATTTGTGTTCTTATTGGTAACTTTGTTATTCAGCAAACAAAATAAGTCAAAATTTTGATTATCCAAGAGACATTATTCATTTTACAATCGATGTTATTTTCCCTGCAGTGATTGTTGAGACATACCAGAAGACGTATATTTTACAGCTGATAAAAATTAAAATAAGGTACACACACGCTTGGGTTTTTTATTACATACATTACAAGATTACAACCCGGGGAGCCTGGGCTCCGTCTTCTGTCAACAACAAGCGCGACTCAACTCACTGCTCTGTGCTCTCTCTCGTTCTCATATAGCGATCAGCTGTAGACAGAGCAGGAGGGCATTCATATATAATAGTAAATGCCAGAGATTCTGGTAAACGCGGGTTGTAAGGTATACTTATTATCAATTGTCAATTTCAAAATTTTTTATTGGCAAAACTTAGAAGTTGTACAGCCATAGCGCAGTTGTAGTTGTCAATTCAGTCTCAATAATGTGTTTATACGTTTTTATATAGATGTCGTGACCGGGATTCCGTAAGAGCGGGAGTATACCAATCCATGCAAATTCGAATGTTCGAAATAGCGAAAAAATATCAATTATCTCATGCTCATATAATTGATATAATGTATAGCTTTTGAAGACTGCAACAGTGAGTGCAGGTCGTGGGCTCTTTTCATTAAAATTGTCAAAAAACTTAAAAACGTAAGTGGTAGGCATATTATTTTTTTTTATAAATCAACCTCAAACTGCAAAATAGATGAATCACTGTTTTTTCTTATTACATTAAAAATACGTCTATATGTTATGCAATTTGTACAGTGAATAGTTAATAGCAATCACATTCCAAATTAATTTTTACTAATTATGGTTCTTACGTTGTAGCATTTTACAAAAAAATAATTTAATTTTTAATATCAATTTTAACAAAATCTTGATAGTTTCTTTAGCAGGTCAAGTAGATAATTACAAAGCAATGTAGATGATGGACCTTTTACGCCTGTTTCTTATCCGATGAACCAACGGGGCGGGATGACGTCTCATGTTACTGGGATAACGAGGAATTATCTAAAATTGATCAATTATTACAATATAAGTATTATTTATGTCATTGACAAGTATGTATGCAGTTCTCTCGTGATGCGATTATTTTCATGTATCAAGAGAGAACAAGTGTTTTTTTTTTTAATACTACTCAACGCATTTGTTCTAAAACCTGATGTAACGAAATCGTTTGTTGTTCCACATGTGCGGCTGCAGTTGATCCAGCAGCACTGTCACCAATTACATTTTCCAAAATTAGCGTGGACGATGCTTGATCAGCCAAAGACGGTCCCGATGAATTAGTAGATTGACCTGTTTCGAAAAATTTACCAAAAAAGTTTAAATATGTGTTAATACGACGCTAGAGTTCAATAGCATTGAATCACAGTCAAAATCCTTACTATCATGCGATTCAACGGTTTGTTGAATGCTACGGTGATCACACACTGCCGTCGAATCGTTTAATCTTAATCCTGCTATTCCTTTTTTTGGTGCGCTGCACAGGTCGCGTTTGATGCGTCTTCTTCTCGAATGATTATTGCGACGAATTTGAAACATGGAAGTGAAATCGGCAATGTACAAAAATCCAGCAATCAATAGTTCACACGTCTGTTTTCCCTGTTTGTATGCAGTTTCCAACTCTGCATTTGTACGGGGATCATATTGCCACCAACCTGCAAATTTTGTTAATATAATTACGTGCAGCATGTAAAGAAAATATTTTATCAAATTACCATTATTTCCTTCGTAAAACCATTGATATTCCTCTTGTGGAGTTTGTTCTGTGTCGATGACTGTAACTTCCCTTTTGTCCGATAAACTAACTTCGAGTAATTGTGGGTGTTCCAGAAAGCCTGCTGGAATTTCTTGGCGACACATTGGGCAGCGCTTGCTTTGATTTGCAACACCCTTGATACACAGATAGCAGAATACATGGTTGCAGGGAAGACGAGCTGGATGGATGCAATTTTGCAAACATACAGCACATTCGGGAACAGTGGCAGTTTTTACTGTAAAATGACAGAAAATAAGATGGGCTGTAAACTTATACTTGTCAAAATAAGCCATCGCTTGAACAAATACGTACCATGGTTTTCTGGAATTTCACATGTTATTTCACTCTGACAATCATTTTCAAGTTTGTTACAACACGCAGAACTAGGCTCTGGTGATTCTTCACGCGTTTGCGACATTGGTATATATTATTAATGTAATAATACACTTGCAATCGCTGTTTACGTTTACCTGATCAAGTATCAATTGAATTCGTGATTTCACAGCAAACACTTGGTTGTACCTCAACTTCAACTATACCTACTTATTACGCGTAGCTACTTACTCATCTCAAATCCCAAGAGTAATAATTTTAAAAACAAGACTTGACACGACGCGACAAGGAATGATAACTCGCTCTATATATATGTCAACATCAACAATATGGGGTGTATTGCATGAACATCAACATTGTCGCCACTGCCTCTGACATCAGTACCTACTATCAGTAGTTGCAGTCAGTCACGTGATCCATTTTAAGAGTAGAGAAAGAGAGAGAGAGCAATAACCCAGCAAAAAGTGGTAAATTCAATCGTCACACTAAAGCTTGAGTTGAGTGACTTTAATTCATTCATCACCTCAATTCATCATAAAGGGCAGAAGAGAAGGTAAGTACTTAAGTAGGTAAGTATGGAGAGAAAAACCAAAACGGAAACTAACTTTTGGTGGTTTGGAAATCGTAACTTTTTTTTAGAGTTTGAAGTTTGAAGTTTGGCTATGGTTTACGAACCAACTGGACCGAAGCAAATTGAACCAAAAGTGATGCACACATAAACGGGATAAACCTGTTGTGTCTCAATGGGTTTTGAGTTTTAAGAGAGACTAAGTACTGTATACATGTTGCATTTTGTATTGCTATCAACTATACTTAAACTTAAGTAAAGCTTGTCTTTATCATTGTCTGTCCTCCTTTGTAAAGTCCGTTCGTGTGCTTTTATCTGGTCATCTGGTGCTCATGGTCGGCATAACCTCTCTCCAATATGATTTAAAGCTTTGTTCAAAAGTTGTTTTTTTTCACCCTCTGAAGTGAATTGGTAGGAGCCGGAAAAATTCAGTCTCATAATTTTCAGCACGGGTAAGCATAGTGTTTCATCATTTTTAGACTCTACCAAACAATCATCGCCCATTGAGGCGTTTTATCCGTCAGCGTAACGTAGCGTTTAACGTAATTTTCACGTTGTGTGTAATTAAATACAGTATACCTACCCATAATTATATATTCTCATCTGTCCCAATTAATACACCGACAAAGAGTAATATGTGTTGATGCAAATAGCTTGCAATCCAAGTAACATGCATTAATGAGGTCTTGATGTTTTTACTGCAGAAATCTTGTTATAGTCCAAAAAACTGATTATCTTGTCTTTTTTTATCAATTTGACCATCAGTACACTTGAATTGATCATTATTACTGATGGTTGTGAGAAAAAAACAACAAAAAAGCATCTCTAGGTTAAAAACTACATACATTATTATGATTTTAGGACCTGCTGATAAAAAAAAAAAAAAATAAAATAAAAGAAATGGCTAGCCATCGACCAGGGTCGATTCACACTAGTGGCCGAATTGGCCGTCCGTTCCGGGTAGAGTACATCAACCGGTCTGGGGAACAAGTGAATCCGCACACGGGCAAGCCATACGCTCGTCCCAATGGCATTCAAAGCACATCAGCCAAAATCCGTGGCGTGAAGAAGAGCCTACCAATAAAGCGATCAGGAGTCTTGTTTGGCCGCCTAAAGTTGATCCCGACGGACGCTAATCTCGATCCACCGCCGCGCGCCTGCTTCAACTGCTGGCAGCCAGGTCACAGGAGATCCAAATGTACCAGGCCAGTGCTCACCCGCTTCTGCAACAACTGCGGTCGCAGGAACGAGGACGTGCGTACCTGCCCGCGATGTGCCGATGCTCACAAGCTTTGGCTCGAGGTACAACGGGCAAAGGAACGCGGTGAAAAAATCAACGAGCGGCTCTTGCTACCTACCATTGAAAATGATGATTACGACGTCGAGGATGATGACAATAATGTCATGGCAGAAGAGGTGGAAGAAATCAATGATCCCGACGCTATTCTACAGGAACTCATTTACCAGGATCAGAGGACCCGCGAGCTCCTCGAATACGAAGAAAGAAAGAGAGAACAGCGCGAGGCTCTCAATGCCATTTATAGGAATAGCAAGCGGCTCAGCGAAAAAGGTGCTGTAGCTGCTAGATCGCCGTCTTACGTCAACGCACTTGTTTACAAAAAAATACCCTCTTCATCTGTTGCTGCGTACGTAAATGAAGTGGACAATGAATATCAGCTCCTCGAGCACGATCCATTGATAGATGGTGATGTTCACGATAACAAGCGTGGGTCGTCTTTTCTTGATCAGCGCAATCCTTCGCCGCAGGAACGCCATATTGGCATGGCTGTTTTCAATGAGCGTGAGGTGGTGAGCCCGACGCGTTATTTAGGATATGCTGACCACGTCCTCAACAGGAAGGAAGAGAGAGCCGAAACCCCGGAGCCAGCGAGGACGGACGGCAACTGGCGCCAAGTCATGGCTGACGCAAGTTTGGTATCACCCGATTCTGATCCTGTGCAAGACATCTTGCTGCTGGCCAAGACTATTTCGCATCTATCGCCAGAGACGCAAGATCTTGTCATGCGTCAGGTGATTGCCGAAAGGCAGGAACAGACGAAACGCAGGGCAGTTACTCAGGACAGACCAGGAAGTCGCTATATCGAGACAGTCAGGTTTTGACCAGTTTTTTTTTCAAAAAAGTAAAACTTTTTTTTTATTTGGAATCCAAGGAAGAGAGTGTGCAGTAGTTTAAGGTGTGTAATAAAAGCAAGACTGAATTTGCTTTTTATATAAGATTAAAATTACTACTATTACTGTGACTTGTAGATGTATTTAAACAGAGGGTGTATACATACCTTTTCCATAGCCAAGTAGTACCTTTTTTCTTTTTTAGATTAACGATAAATCATCTATTTCTATGAACCATATAAATACCACCTAAATTGAAAATTGCTGATTACATTTATTTGAAAATAAACATTCGAGCAACGCCTTTAAATTCTCATCCATCATCCTAATTATATTACAGTTAAATATATGTCTGTTTGCATGAGGCTTATATAAGTTTAAATTTAAAATCTAGTGGTACTGGGTTCAATCAAAAAAGGCTTGGATACACTGAATACATGAATAAATAAATTTTTTTGTATTATAATATGTAGGTAAATCTTCAATGTTTTCTATTTCTTCCATCTTTCGTTATATTATCTTTAAACTGTCAGTGCATTAAGTAATCTTGGACATAAATCACATGTTATTAATCAAAGCTTGCACTGTAACTATTTTATAAAAAATGCTTTCACATAGATATAATAATCAAGCAAATATTATTATTATTTTTTTTTTATAATTATCGACAAGTCTCATTGTGTATTTGTAGATTTTGTACTATTCTCTCTTTTTTATATAAAATGTATACATGCATTACTTGAGAATTCCTAAGAAAAAAAAAAAAAAAAAAAAAAAATTAAAAGCTTATGCCTATCTGCTTTTCTAAAACGATTTTTACGTTAAAAATGATTGGGTTATACTTATGAAATATTTAACATCTTTGCTAGCAATGCCTTGATCGTATCCCATGTAAGATTTATCTTGGAAATGATGTCCAGTTTGTCGAGGATAAAAAAAACGCAATTGTCTCGAATAAGTATGGGTGTAATAGAGTAAGTAGTTGTAATTTTATCGTATGTCAGCGCAATTTCATGGTACACGGTTGTTGCACGTAGTTCAAACAGAAGCCTCGATTGCCGTAATCGTTGGGCGCTTCTGTGCCATCCGAGTGAAAGTACAGCCGAAACGGCTTGACCGTACCTGTGAAAAAATGAAATTCCGAGGTAATAAACGTAAAATATACAACAAATGTCGACCCTTGATTACAATTTAAGGATTACTTCGCGAAAACAGCATATTTGATTCTCACACGTACCTACAAACTATTGATGAACTTTGTAAACAATTGTTTGGAAATATATGTTTCAATAATAACAAAAAAAGGTGTCATGTAACCGTTGCCATTAAACAATAAAAGAGGCTAAGATACAACAATTTTACTCCCTACGTATTATTAAAAAATCATCATCAATTTTCGGAGACGTTAAATTTATCGTCAAGTTTTAGTTCTTAATTGCATCTGCATACAGAAAGCAGAAGTATCGTCTGGAAGATGCGATGTTCGTCTCGGTTAAAAAAAATACAATAATACACTTCTGCCGATCAAGCTTTACACTCCCGATACGGCAAGTACTTAAAAAAGGTATATTCATAACATGTAGATGGTAAACACAGATTATTGTTGTTTTTAGAGATCCCCTAACTTGGAGAAAGAACGCAGTGATGGTGAATTTCAAAAATTTCATTAATTGCATTATCCGTGAAAAAACAACTCCAATAAACAAGGTTTGAAAATAAAATCGTGAGGTGCTTTTACTGTATCCCTCAGTTACTACGATTGTTCTCATATAGTCAAAAGTCGCGATGAAATGCAATATCATATACAAAAAGCACACACCCAACGCTTGGAATGAAACCAGATGTATACTATATGTATACGTACTGATGATGGAGGTGGAGTTGACGGAGGCCTCGGCGTTGAAGGCCCCGCCGCAAAATCGATCAACGCAGGGAATTTGGTTGGTCTGCAATCGTCCCGCGTTAGCTGCACACGGAATCATCAGCCAGTCGCTCTGACAGGCCCTGTCCACCATGGCCGCCAATTGGCCGTTCAACGTGTTGCCCGAAAGGGTGAAACTCCGTGGAATTTGCTGGCCCCCGGGACTCCCGAATCCCACACTGTTTATACCACTCTGCAGCGAGTTTACTGGAAAATCAACGCAACTGGTGTACACGCCACAATTTTGTACTTGCGCAGGGAAAAAAAAAATGGAAAATAAAATTTCGTAGCAAAAGAGTGGGTCCATGCCAATATAACAATAATAGATTCTCGGGGATGCGTGCATCCTAGCTGGTTTTTCATAAACCATGGAACGGGCAAATAAACAATTCGCCAATTGAAAACTCGACTGGTTTAAATTCCCATACTTACACTGCCTTCGCCGTCGTACTCCAGTTATTGTCCATTAACGAACAAAGTCGTAATTTTAGATATACAAACTGGGTATACGTATACATATTATAAATAAAACAATAAAGTGACGTTATAATATACCATCTTCGCAGGCCATGTACTGGATGCCACAAAAGTTCCGCTCCATCCTGATGCAGATGCTGTAGTCCTGATTGGAGAGCTGGAGCCCGACGATGGGGTCGAAGTTGAACGACTTGACCTGGCCCGAGACGCCCGTGTAGTACTGGAGGCAGCCCTCCTCGGCCCGGAAGATACTGCTGCAGGGTATCTGGGCAACGCGCACCCGCCAGGAGCGCTCGAAGCCGCTGCCGCTCGTCACGAAAGACAATATCACCGGGTTCGTCGGACCTGTGCCCACGTCTATGTACACTACAATCATTCCTTCAATTATTCATTTGCTACTTTTCGTACTACAATGCATTGGTCTATAGAACTTACTGTGGTTGCCGTTGTTGTTCCCGCAAATTGGTGATACCGGGTTACCACCGGACACGATGAACTGATCGTAGGTGCAGAGGTTGTTGATGTTCTCGGGCCCGCGGATACTGAATTGCACGAAATCCAACCTGCGCACCCACAAACGAGAAGAAAACAATTTTTTTTTAAATTTTTTTCGTTCACCCTATAAATAACAATGACAATATGTGTACATGTACATAATATAAAGGGCCATCACCTGAACTGACAGACGTCGGGGTGTTGTTTGAGGACGGTCAGTTGACACGAGTTCGTTCCGTCGAAGCCGGATGGATAATTTGGATTAACAAAGTACGTGTTGTTGTCGTAGGTCGATTGGCCGCAGCTCACACTCACTGTTTGTCATAGTTTTCCATTTTTTACTCGTAAAACAATAATACATTGTAATGTACAATATATTATACACCTACCGATACAGCAGACCCCGTAGCCGTTGGCGCAGGTCCCGCTCGCCAAGCCACCGCGCTGGGCGCACTCGGCCGGGGATATGCAGGTGCCATTCTCACCCGATGAACCCACGCATATGTTGTTCTCGAAGCGCACGAGCGTAAACAACGACAAAACTGTACAACACGTGAACGCGCCGGTGAGCCGAGAAAAAACAAAGCCACACGGGTCCAATTGATTTTATTTTGCTTATAACGTAAATGTATAAATTAGCGAAACTCACGTCTCTGGTCGCGCGGGCCCACGGCAGTTCTCTGGGTTGGCTTGGATTCCGGTAGCCGGCGGTCACCCGGTGACGGGGCAGTCTGCCAAAACGATTTGTGCCCCCCTCGGCCGTGCTTGGCTCGGCGCTTCTCGGTTGGTTTGCTCTGCTGGTCGGCCAACACGGCTACGGCCATCGCCAAGACGCCAACGACTCGCCAGTGCATTTCAAAAATGTTGTGTCTCTGATCAGGGGACGCTGGAAAAATCGACTCCCTTGTAAATCCTCATGCCTCCATGTACCTATATCCTATGCGACGGACAGTGCATGTGCCCGCTGTCGTGCACCAGCTCGTGTTATTTATATGGAAGAAAATAACCCCCCCCCCCCCCGTCTCGGCAGATGCGTTTTATTATATTATTGTGTTTCGTTTTTAATTGGTTGGTGCCGTTTGGAGAAGGGAAAAAGGAAAGGAAAGAAAGTCGGCTAGCTGGTGGTTAATTGGCCGAAACGAGATGGTCATAGTCGTCGTCGTTATTGTCATTGCCCGCCACTCGCAAAAGCGTGAAAAAAACGCGGGCACAGCCAACCGAGGGAAAAATTCACTTTTTTGCGCTCACCTCGTTATATATAATCCATGTTATTACATTACATTATATTACCCCTCCCCGTTTGTTTATCCACCCAAGTACAGGCGATTTCTTTCATTTATCTTCATGAAGGTGGTACGAATGTCGATACTCGCTTTTTTTTAACATAATTATAATACAACTCATGAGAACGAGATTTCTTTGCTTTGAAACTTTTTTAATTATTTTTTTGATTGCTTTCGTGCATCCAAGAGTCTACTTATTACAATTTTATCGTTAACTGGTGCATATGGGCGAAACGTTGGATCTTAGAATTCCAGGCATCGGCAATCTTTGCTGTCAATGCAGTACCCACTGACCCCTTGTAAGACTTTGCACTGCTGCGAACACTGCTCTTGAAGGCAAACTGAAAATTATTATTATTTTTATTTTTTTTTTAATCAAGAGGTAATTTTAATTGCCGAAAGAAAATAACTAGTTGACAACTTACTGCTGGCAACGGTCGCGAACAGCTGGCCGAACATGACGATGACAAGAACCAGTGGGAGCCAAGAATGTGGAGTTCTCATTTTTTTTTTTTTTTCCCCCAAGACCCAGTAATTTTGCGTCAAAACTGAATCCCGTTTATCAGAATGCACCATTTATACGTCTGCATTAGTTTCTGCAATCGTTTAAACAAACAACCATTGTACTGTTAATAATCACCGCGAACTTGAACGCTCTGCTGATATTATGTTGACAGCTGTGTTTATTTTTAACAACAGGACGCTCCACATTTATTTATTTATTTTTTTTCTCAACACCTGTTATGACTTTTAATTTCACCTCGATCTTATAAAACTGGTAATGTTAAAAAAAAGCATTAGTTAAAGCACTCCTGCAATTGTTGGCTACTCTATTTTACGGGTGGATTGAAAAAATGACGTATGGCGGAGCATCTATGGCTCAACTTTAAATTGGCATCTACAATTTTTCTGTTCCAATAATTTTTTAATTTTTCAAATTTTAATTGCATCGAAGAATTTTGTGTGCCGATATGCCTTGAATTCAAAATTATGTAAGCTTCTTGCAGAAATGTAAAGTTGCTTTTAATTTGTATTCATGCGCAACAAGTACACAGTTCTGATGATTCAGTGGTACGTTTATTGTGACTTTGAAAATGAAGATTTTTGTATACTTACGACGTAAGTATATCTAGATATCTGGAAAGCGAAAGTCTCGGTACTTACCTATAACTTTTTACTCAATTGTGAGTAATTACATACTCTTTTTATACATTTTGTAATCTGCACTAAGTAGGGAAAAAAATCTAGTAAACTCGAGAGTGAACAATGTACGTGTTCACCTCGACATCATCTCAATATTCACTTTGAATAAAAACTTTTTTCACCAGTTCAAGTTAAAAGAGAACGTACGAAAGGGTGCGACAAACGGGTACATTTAAATAAATAGTATACACTTAAGTAAATACACATGGGTACATATATACGTATTGATAAAATGAAAAAAAATGTGAGATGGACGGACACGTAAAAACGTATATATAAAACATTTATTGTAACAAAAGTACACAATGGCGATTTGAACGGTATAGGCCGTACAATAATTGCAATGAATGAACATGTATAAATAATGATCAATGCCTTCTATGCAAACGATGCAATACAAGTCATCACAAGTGTTGCTGCCCAGCGTCGTCTTCAGCATTGTGCCGATGTCTGTGCCCCGCGCAAACAATGCAAGCCTCGCGCACCGATGCAAAATTACTTCCTAAATGAACTCCACAGGCCGGGCACCGGTGCAGCGTGTCCCGCAGCTCTTTCGAGTAATAAGGAAAAACGCACAGGCTGGGGACAAAAAAAAAACAAAAAAAAAGAACAATGCACTTTTAACTTGGTGGATTTATCACCTCGCATTGTATCGCACACTTCCTTGTGCTTGTATGCATAAGTATTCTTTTTTTCTTTCATTTCTTTTTAAACGTGTAAAGATAACAGCGGAGAGCCAAAACGACTTTCGTCGCACGTAATTTGCATGATGGTTATTATTACAAATCACTGGAAATATCGCGCAATTAATCTTCAACGATCATGTGGTTGACGCACGAACGCGCTCGTAAGTGCTTCGTGCTTGGATTTCTCTTTTATTCTTTGTTTTTTTTTTTTTTTTTTTTTTTATTCGCTACGACAAACGATCGGTAATTTTAATAAAACTGCTCGACACTTTTGCCAAGACCATTAAAATGCACGAATAATAGGTGAAAGAATAAATATACTTACACGCGGATTTTAAAAACTGTATAAACGCTTGGAATGCGGACTCTAACAGTTTTTTTTTTTTTTTCAATAACACAATTCACGTTATGCGCCAACATGGATTTCAAAAGAAAAAAAAAAAAGTTCCAAAAGCTGATGTAAACTCACCAAACTGGCAGTAACAGTAGGGCGGACAAGTGGGTTTTCATCGTGGCGCGCCTCTCGACCGCGGTTTCGATGCCGCAGAGGCAGTTCGGGCACGTCATCGTAGCCGGCTCCCTTCGTAAAAACGTGTGCTCTGTACGCTCGAAATGACCAAAAAGTTTTTATCATCCAGTGAAAAAAATAAAAAAAAAAAAAATAAAGTGTAGTCGATTGATTTACCGCGGAAAAATAAAACGGACCTTCTCCGGCAGGTCTGGCAATCTGTCAAGTAACTCCTGACCCTCTCGAGCTTGTCCACTTGCTCGTTTTCGGGATCCGCGCTGACCGGTAACCTGCACTCCTGGTCACTGTGTATCCTCTCGCCGTTACTTCCTCCCTCGACCCTGTCTTCGTTTCTCTCCACAGCCATCCTTTGTCCGAACAAACGAAATACTGCTTACTTTGGAACACAAGAAAACTTACAACCTACTGAGCCAATGGCAACCGATTTAACTGACCGATCGTGTATTATTATTATCATCAAAAACGAACAGATTGCAAATATATGTCACAGCCATACGAGCACCATTAAGTACTTTTTAATCTTAACAACGACTAAGCGGTATAGAAGATCGGTATTTTATCTATATATAATATATACTGTTTCAATCACGGACTGGGGTAGTAAAAGGTATAGGTTACTACACACTACGTGACGTTTGAGGGGCCCATAGTTCGGGAAAACTCGCGTCGCGCTTTAAATTGATTTTAGTTTGGCTCTTAGTCTTCATGGTCACCAGCGTGGCAACTACACCGACGACCACGACGAGACGTCAACGCGTCTACGACACGCCTGCCGGTCCTGCGCCCTCCTCGAGAGACTCTCGACCAACCCCCTGGACGTATACGTTTCTGTGTAAATGTGTGTTTGCATTGGCTGGTGCACCACTGCACTGCGCAGTACGCACATATATAATTATACAAGACCACATATACATACAACATTATAATATACCTACAAGTGAATTTTATGTTGGTCCTTTTGCGCGTGACTCACGCGAGCGCTTTTTTATGCATAGGGGCGAGGGGTACCTATAAAACGCGGCACGAATTATTTATGAGTCGCCCAAGATTCGAGATACGTAATGTAAGGTAAAATAAAAATAAAAAAAAAAAGTAATTTAAATCCTTTTTTTTTTTTTTTTTTTTTTTCCTCTCTCTTTTACGAAAATTGTGCCAGTTTTTTTTTGTTTTTATTGGTACGGCAGATACAGCTTCCGTTGGAACACATACATTTCTTTCGTGCAATGTAATTCCAAGTCAAAATTTAAAAAATATTACGCGCTTTTTCTGTGTGATGCGAAGAAAATTTTATGTTCATTTGTTTATCGGGGCAATAAAATACGGTCTCGTGAATTTTACTGCAACACATTAAGAAAGTAGGTTGCACTTAATCTTGTTGTCCCTGCACTTATAAAATTGCTGGACAAATAAAGTAATTTTTTTTTTTTTGCTGATCGACTTGTGGTTCGATGGTGCTTGTTCGTAATTCTCTGATAGTTGAATTTTATTTCGTTTTTTCTTTTGTTGATATTCGGGTTTTGAATTGAAAAAAAAAAAAAAAAAAAAAAAAAATTCCAAATTTTTTTTTAAAAAAAAAGGGGATTAAAAAAAAAAAAAAAAAAAAAAAAAAGAAATTCCAAATTATGTTGTAATAACAAAGTGGATTAAAAAAAAAAAAGATCGAACAACTGTTTTTGGCATGTCATTTGAATTTTTACTTTTTATTTTCACGGATGTCTGTAAAAATCGATGATTAAGTTTGTCGCGATAGAGGGAGGAAAAAAAGTGAGCGAAAACAATACTTGTTGGATAAATACCATATATTATACAATAATATGAATAAATAAAATTTTTCTAACAAATTCCATCTATATAAACAGATCATAATTGCACTTTGAGATGTATAATGTATAAATAATGTATAAGCGCGACATTTGTGCGTGTGTGTCGTAAAAATTTTACAAAGGCACTGACAACAACAACGACAAACGATTTTTTAAAAATAATACCCCCGTTGCGCTTTCGACGTAAATCACATACAAAGCTATAACTTTTCTCCGCGGAATGCATGATTGTAGTGCGTATAAAAAGATATTTCTTGATTACACACAAGGAAGCCTCTCAATAATGGAGAAATGCGCAATAACATTGCCATTAGTCTATAATTTCTGCTCATCCAGTAATTCTTTGATGATCCTCCTGTACCGTTCCACCATTGGTTCGTAAATCTACAAAAATCACAAACGAAAAAAATCATGCCACCATCAAGTACTAGAGAATTAAAAAAAAAAAAAAAAAAAACACTCACTTTGGCCGCGTCGTCGTACGGCTGACACAGTAGCTTCGCTTCTGGCAATTTATTGATAATGTCGCTAAACGCCAGCTCGTCCTTGTAAAGCGCGTGCTTCGCCCTGTAAGCTCCTCCCATCATTGCCGAGTTGGCTGTCTCCTGTTATATAAATTATCGTCACCGTGAGCGTGGACAAAAAAAAAAGGGAAACAAAGAAAAAATTACCAAAACGTAAACGGGTGAGTTGAAAACATCGGCCATCACTTGGAGGATCAGTTTATTCACGGAAGCTCCTCCCGTCGCGATGATTCTCGTGCTCGGGCCTATGTCAATGGAAAACAATTGGAAAAAAAAAAAATAAATAATAATAAAAAAAAAAAAATAGATCACACAATATACCCTTACCGATGACGAAACCAAAGTCCTCGGCATGGGCTCGCCTGGCGACGAGCTGGCCCTCGATCAGCGCCCTCACCTCGACCTCTTTCGAACTGTACCGAACGATGCGCTCGTTGAGCTTGTTGAAACGGTGATCGCCCGCAACCACACCGGGCGTTATCTCCCGCACGTCGTAGTACAGGGCGAAATTGCCGAAATTACCCCGCGGCGTGTTGTCCAGCAGCTCGTTGAATATCTGCCAGTCGCCACCGGCTGCGCTGTTCCTTATACGCTCGCGCGTCAACGAGCCATTTTTGAATCTGTACGTACAAGTATTTACATATGATGTATGAATGTGTAATACACATAATATATATGAGAACTCACCCCAGCATAGCCATGTAGGCGTCGTCTTGCAGGGGATTGCAGAGGATGTGTCCGTCCAAAGTAGTTTTGGGCTCGTGCAGCCACAGAAAGAGGGTGTCACTTGTGCCAAGACTGACAGCCACGTCTCCCTCTTTCAGTCTCATGCCTGCATAAGTATACGTGTATGGATCGCGTGAATGGAAAAAGTGCCAATAAGGAGCAAAAGGAAGTTTTTAATTTTCTTCTTACCGGCCAAAGAGCCAGGGTTGTCGCCGGTGAAGGCAACTACCTTGCAGTTGTCGTCGAAGCCGAACCTCTCGGTGTAGTAACGCGAAATCGGCCCCACGAGCGAGCTCGAGGACACGGCGTCGTCCAGCTTTGACCTCAAATTCGGAGCGCAGGCCTCCAACAGCTCGTCCCGCCAGACTTTGGCCCGGAGGTCGAACAGGTTTGTGCCCGAGGCGTCGGCCCAGTCGATCGGCGCGTAGTCGCCCAGGAAGAGGGACGCTGCGAAGTTGCTCACCAAAGATACCCTCTTGGAATTTCCAATCGCCCCAATTGGGCGGAAACCAATTGCACACGTATATATATTTTTTACTCGTTAAAATATTCTCTTGAAAAGTACAGTATTTACAACGGAATAAAATATAATAATTGCACGATAATCGACATGTATAGATCAATGGTTCTCTCACCTCTGTGTTTTCGTAGGCGTCTGGCTTTTTTTTGTGGATTTTCATGATCTGGGCACCAGAGAACCGCTCGTATCCCCGAGATCCGGTGATTTCCGCCAATTTCTACGTACATACGTACACGATGGGCATGAATTATCATTGAAAATAGTATATGGACGCATGTAAAGAATGGGTGGGCAAACTTACCTCCGGTCCCCCGAGGACTCGTTCGAGCTGCTTGCACTCGGCCGTGGTGCTCGAGTCCATCCACGTGGGGGATTGGGATACCGAGAAAGCCGAGGCGAGCTGTTCGTGCAGGAACTTTTCGGGGTCTAGCCTCTGCAGGACGGCCCTACTGCCCTTACCCCAGTACACCGTTCCGTGTTGCTGTGTATGTACGAGTTATCAACAATGATGGTCCAAATAAGAGACCAAAGTGAGAGGTGCAATAAAATTTTTGTAACGCGCAGCATCGGGTCAAAGTGCAATATATATTTGTATAATTTTATACTGTGTAGTGGTATGTTGTGCACACCTGCGCCGATCCACTTATCGCAGCAACTTTGCCGAAATCGACGCCGCACACTCGCAAACGATCTAAAATCATGTCCAAGGCTTTCACCCACATGAGGGTCGGGGCTGTCACCACGTTCGGCTCTTCCTTCGTTTGTAAAACTCCTCCATACGTCCTGGATCAACAGATACATTTTTTTCAATGGCAAAGCTCATTTTTGAGACCGATTTTTTTTTTTTTTTTTTTTTTTTTTCTTCGTTTCATGTTTGCTTCTTTTTGTCTCTTCTTTCCTTTCTTTTATATACGTTATACTATGTTCACAGTTTTTTTTCATCGATTACAATATGGACATTATATTTGGTCTTTTTGAACAACGTCTACATGATGAAGCAATAAATCGTGGAAATAAAAGTTATTAATGGTATAACATATGCATGCAGGTGAGTCGAGTAGAAAACAAAAGAATAAACTGAAAAGGAAAAAAAAAAATAAAAAAGCTTACCGGCGACAAAAGATTAATGTGTTATCGGCCTTCACCAGTGCTCAGCTTCGATATTTTTAATCCTCGAGCCTCGTTAGGATTTGCTTTTTCTATCTTTTGTATCACGAATTTATTACAGATCCTTAAGCCAATTTAGTATCAATTAGACGATAATTATTAGTTGAAGCCAATCAAAAATTGTTGTTTTGTTAAAAATCACTGGATTTTGAAAAACTACTTTCCAGTCTTGTTGTTTAATCAATTCAACGTTACGGGGTTTTTTATTTTTATTAATTTTGATGAAAAACGAAAATTAATGGTAATTGCTGTAAATGGATATTAAGGAGTAAGAAGCATTTGGACGTGAGGCAAATTAAAATAAGGTCGAAAAAGATTAATAAAATGCATTTTTATTCATCGGAAAAAAATAAGAAATGATAATGATGGTGATTAATCATAATAATGATAATATATAATTAAATTTAAGGAATCAATAATCTTTGGGACTTTTCACTCGGAAATCCTTAAACTAAACACACAATCGACGTAAACGCAACCAATAACTGTGCAAATAACTAAATACATAATCGAGCGTAGCATATATAAAACATGAGTAGGAATCTTAAATCTAAACATTTTTCGCTGCGCGCTTTGCAGTACTTATAATGTAATAATTGACAAATCGTGGCATTGATGATGCACAAATAAATTGCGGGAGTATTTTGATGGAAAGAAATCTTTTTACTGGCGTACTTACTCCGATGATTTAGAAATACACGATCCAGAGTAATTCAAGGCACACTCATAAAGGCACGACAAACGATTATCGTATATTTTACACCCTTGTTACAAAATACGCCGTTGGGCTATTTGACGATACTGTTATTGCTTATAATTATTATTATTATTATTGTATATTTATCGTAAAAAAAAACTTGAAAATCAAAAAAATGAATAAACAACAGTAAGTATATGCTTGGTAGGCTATCGGTAGCTATTATTCATCCATACATACATTAATTTTATTTTATTTTTATTTTTTTCAATACACAAATTTTACAAATTCAGTCTTTTATGTGGTATCTATATTCTCGTAAATCACAGCAGTATTGTCATTTATCTTGTGATTGAATATGAATTAAACAAAAGTAACAATACTACACCAACAGTCGAAATGATTCGTATCACGTTAGAAATTTCATTGACGTAATATCAGTGCATGGTAATTTTTCAAGTCATTTAATTATTCGATAAAACATTTTCTCATTCACATTAAAATGCACCAAAGTATGAAGCAACCATTCACGTAGCTATTTTCAATACGAAAGATCATTGGGAATCCGAATCAACATCCACACTCAAAATTGGTCTGTATATATATTTTTTTTTTTTTTTTATTACGCTTAATTTTTCTTGGGACTCGCGGAAAATAATTATTGTTTAGTCACGACGAAAATTAGCACCACTTTGGTCACGCAGGGAAAGACTCTTTTTTTTACAGTTACCTGTTTAATGGAAACAATGTGTGTGTTTGTGTAGTTGTGCGCGTACACGATAGTTGGAAAAAACAAAACAAACGTCACAATTTCTCTCAAAAAAAAAAAAGAAAAAAAGAAAAGAAAAAAAAACGGTGTAGCGTATAGCGTTGGAGGCAAATTATTTCTGGCCTCCTAGTCACTCATGTCGGAATCAAAGAGTTCCTCGCGGGCCTGCCTACGGGTCCTGGGCTTCCTGCGCGTGATCGACTCGTCGCGTATCTTCCTCCTGGATTTAGGCTGGGGCTGCTGCACGGGCTCGGGAGGCCCGAACGAGTCCGTGACGTCGACAAGCGAGGGTTCAAAGTCCAGGTCCAGCTCGTCCTCGGTGTCGATGTCGTCGACGAGCACAAAGCTCTTGGGCTCCTCGACGGCTTGGGGCTCGTTCTTAGCGCACCTGCGGGTTCTCGGGTAGCCGCTTATCACCGGCGAGCCGTCCGTCTCCATCTCCGAGGCTCTGTTGGGGTTGGCTGAGCTGCAAATCGCCGAGTCCGATTGGTTCGTAGTTACCAAGGCGCCACTCGATATGACACTTGGGATTGTCTGATTTTTTTTCGTCAGTTTGATTTTTTTTTTTTTTTCATTTCCCGCAATAATATGGACATTGCCTACCGCCAAGAGAGGTACGCGTGTAACGGCGCCCATTTTTTTTTTTTTTTTTTTT